GATTAAAATTGTTGCGATAAACTTCTGAAGGATATCGTTGACAGTGCAATGTCAATTAAAATTGCTGCGATAAACTTCGAAGGATATCGTTGACAATGCAATGTCGATTAAAATTGCTGCGATAAACTTCGAAGGATATCGTTGACAGTGCAATGTCGATTAAAAATCGCAGTGATATAAATACAAGTGATGACCATCGAAACGATATATTATGAATATCTAACATAAACGAAGGTTATTGATACGAAATTACTACGAAAATGATAATATTTGCAAAATTTCGCACATGAAGATATCAAAATCGATAACCTTCGAAGGTTATCGATACGAATTTACTACGAAAACGATAATATTCGTAAAATTTCGCACATGAAAATATCAAAATCGATAATCTTCGAAGGTTATCGATATAAATTTACTACGAAAACGATAATATTCGCAAAATTTTGTCACGTGAAAATATCAAAATCGATAACCTTCGAAGGTTAGCGAAGACCTTCGAAGGATAACATATCGAAAAATAGCGAAATACTTACGTTAACGTTAACTTTCGAAGGTTTTCACTAGAAAAAATTTCCTGATGCTTGTTCTCAATTTTCCTATTATTTTTCAAGTTGTACAATTATTTTTGTAGCAAATTCAAAACCATTATACTTCAATCAAGATTGTATAAGATATTTAAAACTATGTATTACTTGAAATAAATATGTTTTATCACATTGCAAAATATTAAGTATTTTATTATATGGTTCTAATATTTTTATAATTGATAGAAGATTTTTTCAAAAAGTTTCTAAATTAATAATTTCAAATATTGCTTATGAAATTTTTAAACTATTTTTTTCTTTATATCAAGATTTAACAATTGATAATTCAAATTTAATAGTTAGTATTTAAAATAATAATCATTTATAAATTTAAATCATTAAATAAATTTTAATTAATATTTTAAATAACAAATTAGATGGTATAGTAAATATAAAAAAATATTCTTGCAACTTACTTGTAATGTTTTTTAAGTATTTAAAAGACTTGTATATATCATATAAATACTATTCTATCTTGTTTTTTCAAAAACAATTGGTATAATATATTTTTGATAGGTTTTATATTGAAGTTTTTTTAAGTTTACAAGAGAGAGAGAGAGAGAAATAAAAAATTTATTATTTGAATTTCAAAAATATGTTGCAAGACAAATACTTTTATTAACAGTAGTTTTAAATTTTACTAATTCTTTGAAAATTTTGTCTATATATAAATTAAGTTGATAAGTAAAACATGGTAAAAATACAAGTAATCGTATTGAAATTTTTAATCTACATCTAATATAAAAATTATATTAAATAAATTAAATAAAATTTAATAAATTAAATAATTAATAAATTTATCTAGTTACTGCATATGTTCTTGTATTATTAGTCACAACTGTACAAATAATAATTTGTTTATTATTTAATTTTTTAACTATAAATTATATTTTTTCTATTACTTTAATATGATTCTCATATTCTAAACTAATATCAACTACTTTCCAAACAAATGGTCTACTTTTAGAAGTTATTAAAACTATTCCTAATAATTATTCATTTTTAATATTTGTTCATCTATCAAATGTCAACATTATACTTACTGGATCTTCTCTAAGAGTATTTTCCATTAATTCATCTGAATTTTCTACTACTTTTTTTAATATTTTTTCTTCAAGTAAATAGTAATTAAGTAATTTTAAAAAAAGATTTAAAAAATTAAACAATTTTTTAACTTCAAATTTATTAACCTATGATAATACACATTCACAAGAAACAGTAAGTCAAAGTAATAATATATTAAATTTTTTTAAATCTTCCTTTAATAATGATTTAACAATATAATTATCTATAGGTCCATATAATGAATAAACAACTATTTTACAGGGTAATACAGATTGAGAGAAAAAAGATTCAAAAATATCTGAAACTAAAAAAAAAATTATTTTAATTTTTTGATAAATTTAAATTTTTATACATTAAATTAATCTTGTCTTTTGATTATATTAGTTGAAGGAGGTATACTATTATTTTTTAATAAATTAAATATTTCTTGTTCTTCTACAATTGTTTTAATAAAAAAATTAGAACATTTTTTAAAGTGTTAAATTATCCAATCTTTCTTATTTAGAAACCAATTTCTTTTCCTCCTTTATTATCAAGTATTTTAACACAAGATTTACAAAAAGTCTTAAAATTGGTTTTATTAATTTTATCATTGGATCTAATAATATATTAGATTATTAAAAGATGAAGTGACATATTTCTTTAACAAAAAAAAATTTTTTTGATAAAATATCTAGTCATGTGAAATGTTCTGGGACATATCTTGTATACAACTAAATTTTAAAACAATTTTGAAATATGAGATATAGAAAATTTGTCCTATTGTCTTATATTTCATCAAAAATAATAGGATATATCCTGTATATAACACTAAGTTTGAATATCAGTTCTCACATCAGGTTCACAAATAACAATATGTAACTAAATATATGGTTGATATTTTTTTTACCCATGTGAACTGTAATAATAATCTAACTATAGTTGATGTGTAACCTAAAAAATAAATTATAATTTATAGTTAATAGGAAATAATCTGAGAGTTTATATTAAGGCAGTAGGTTGCAGATATGTCTCTTTATAAAGTTAATCTGAGTTATATTTTACAATAGCTATTAAGATAAGTTGTATATTTTATATTATGTAATAATAATATAAGAGACTTTTTCTTTTCTTAATTAATAAATTTAAGACAAGGTCTTGTTGAAACTTTTTTTAAAAAAAAATCTGAGGGTTCATATTTTCCTTAATAATCTATCTCGGGAAGTATCTTATATTTGAAATCAATTATAATTATCAAATTGATATACAATATATCACATATAAGTTAACAATAGTATTGTATTTCTATTGTCACATTTTTTATAGATTATAAATTCCAAGTCTGATAACATGAACAAAAATCTGTTGTCACAATTTCATATATGGTAGGTACCTAAGTATGATGACAAACTCATGAATTCATTGTCACTCGAATAATAACACATATGTAATCTTGTCATTATACCTGGGTAAAAATAATCTAAACTAAGTGAAAACAACATAATTATGTCATTTTCACTATTGTGTCAATTTATTATATAAAAATGAAAATTTTACTTGACTCAACTTCAATTTTTTCAATTTTTAATTGTACCTAATTCAATTCAATAGTTTTGATGACATGTATAAATTAATGCTAAATATGATATATAAGAATAATACATATTATATAAAATTACATTGGTATCACTAGTGACACAATCTACAGTTTCTATAAGTATTTTGAAATTCATTTAACTGATACCTAATATATGATTACTATTGTATTTCTAATATTTATACTTTTGTTTATGTATATGAGATTTTTCAGTATTTCATAAAAGAGGGATAATTAATAAAAGTTTTATTACATTTAAAGTAGTTCATTTGTAATTCGCTCTCATTTTCTGATGTCTCTGTTAGTGTTGATGTCTATAGCAGATCAAAGTATATGAATTTACTGTATAAGTAATTAAAAATATAAAAGAAAAATGATGACATACTTGTGAAATAGCATTTTCGATCATATCAACATCCAATGTAAACCCTGGTAATATATCCCCTCTATTTATACCTCTCCAGACACACTTATGATAAAAATTTCCACCTTGATTCAATTTATATATCTAAATTCCTTTGTTTTTAAGGTCATTCAGCCAACTGAGCCGTACAGAGGTATTCATTGCAAAATACTCCATTTTAAACTTTTATTCAATTTATCAAACTTTGACTTTAGTGCAATATCCCCAACCTTAACAACAAATGTTAGAGTAAACGGTTTATCACTCTTGTCACCTTTGTCACCCTTGAAGATCTGGAATTTTTGTTGAGTCAAGTAATGATATGTATCTTTAAGAGTGAAGGAAATATTAGGTACTCAAATTGTTTTGTTGCTTTTAACATTAAAGTTGAACCCTCCTTGTGAGGAAGTGATAACACCTCCTTGCCAATTTGGATGCTCCAGTTACTAAGTTGTCTACCAATTTCTAAAATGACAGCTTCCATATAAATAGTTACTTGTGATATAGATATTAGTTTTCCGTTTTTGTCAAGCTCAAAAAGATTAACAGGTTGTCTATTGATTTCCAAAGTATAGTATTTTAGCTGGTCATTTATATACTTGAATTTCTCAAAGGTATAGATACGATTAAGGATCAGATTGTTAAGATCTATTTTTTGTTAGACTTTCGATGACATATTTAAAGATGAGAATCGAAAAAAAATTTAGGACACGAGAAGTAATTTATGTGATTAGATAATTATAATCTTTATCCTTATTATTTTGAATTAGGATACCAAAGTAGCTGATGCAGTTGATACAAGTGATTATAAGAAGTACGCTGGTGATGGGAAGTAATTAAGATAATGTATGAGGTGAGAAGAGTTATAAAGTCATTTAACATATAACAATTCCTGCAATTTCAGCAGTAATTATTATGATAATTATAATTAAAGCAATACAGATAATACAAAAAAGCAAATATTGTATAATAACAAGTTAAAAACAGTTTAGACATTTTGCAATTCAAAGATTAGTAATTGCTGGTATTGAAATTTGACTATGTAGTTACTTTGTAGATTACATCACTTGCGTATACTGAGAATTTACTATATCCACTTCATTACCGGTTTGAAGTTAGAGTGGATATGAACAATAAACTTGTCATATTATCTGGGATTTTAAATGTTATATAAATAAAAAAAATAGATCAAATCGAATAATAAAATAATATCTTACTTAGTAATACATATTAAAATTTGATCATGATAATTAACCAATAAAATTTGATAAAACTAGGTAATAATGATTATCGTCATCGCAAGTTGATATTTCCTTCAATTTTCTTTAAAATTAAAAAAAATTTCATTTTCGATAAAATTAAATTAAAGATGGCTATGACACCTACCGTATTAGAACGTGTTCGTGAAAAAATGAAAGAACGTAATTTGTCCGAAGAAGAATTATTAATTCTTATGAAAGCTAAAGAAAAAATGAATACGCATAGTGCGTTTTTTATTTTTTAATACTTAGAATTTACAAGTATAGCTGAGTGTATATATATACATATACATATATATATATATATATATTTTTAATTAAACCTAAAAACCCGATTTAAATTGGATCAAATTTAGTGAGATTTGGAGCTATTGCTGGATTGATTTCGGGTGGAATTTTTGGTAATTATTTTACTGAAATAGAATTAATCATAATTAATCAAGTAATGATTATTTATTTATTTATTTATTTAATATCATTTGAATTCATTATTTGAAATTATTTTATATGAAATTATTTGATGAAATTTATTGAAGCTAGAGTATTCAAATATAAACCTATTGGAATCATTGCATTATGCTCTGGTAAATTTTATCAATTAGTTTGATTAATCAGTATGAATTTTTTATTTAATAATATAACATTTAATTATATTAATTAATTATTAATTTATTTATTTATTAATCTTTTAGGAGCATCCGTTATGGGTGGTCAAATTGGACTAATTTCTGGTGGAATAGCTGGCATTAGAACATTACAAAGTACTCCAAATGCAAATCGTATCTTAGAATTACTTAGAGATGTACAGTTGAGTTATCAATTTATATATTTCAAATTTATATATTTCAAATTTATATATTTCAAATTTGTATTTTTAAAATTGTATTCCTAAAACTTTTTTTTTTTATTTTTTAAAAAAGAAATGAAGTAGTTCATGCACGTTTTCCATCACAACAAAGAGGGCGAGCACCAAGGGAAATTTTGGAACCTAAAAATAATAATGATGATGATCCATCGTCATCTCAAAAATCCTATAATGATAATGAAAGAGATTATTCTACGACGACGACTGGTGATGATGTGATGAATAGAGATATTAATACCAATAATAGTAATTATAATTCTTTGAATCTTTTTAATAATTGGAATTAATTATAATGGATATTCATAAATATTGTATTCATAATATTTACTATTATTAATTCAGACGATCGGTCGAAATTTGAGTCATCATCATCTCCATCATTATCATCACAAGATGATTATAATGATAGTAATACGTGGGATAAGATTAGATCACAAAGTACTCAAACAAAATCTGCTTGGGATAAAGTTCGTGAAAAGGCTATAACTGAGAAAAGACAACAACAAAATCAAAGAAGACAGCAACAACCACCAGGAAGTAATACAAGTGATAATTTATATTCCATTGGATCTCGGAGTAATAATAGCGAATATGATGAAGGAATGGATGGAATAGATGATGGTGATCGTTATTCAACAACAAGTAATATTGCCACCTCATTTGATCTTCCAAGGACAAGAGAAGAATATGAAGAATTTGATCGTAGTGGTAAAATTAGAACTAATCAATTCGGTGATCCCGAAATTAGTTATAATTAAATTATTTATTCTTTAACTTTAATTATTATACTACTAATGTAATATATAATAATATAATTTATTGTATATAATCTTTTTTTTTTTTTGATATTAATACTTAATTTGTATTTTACATAATTTATGGAATCAATTTTAACAAAAAAATTTGGTGGACCCATAAATAAATTTCTCACGTGTCACATTAATTTAATTCACGTGAAGATTCATTTCCGATCGAAACGGTTAAAAAAAATAAACATTTTTGAAATTGATCATCATCCCTTCTTTCTAAAATTTTTTTTTAAAAAAATAATAAATCATGATCAAGAGTACGTCTTATGATATCTCTGATCCAAGTGACTTTCCTCAAACCGGCCTTCAATCACTTGATTTATTTTCCCGTTGTCCGATATGTAAAGAATTCTTTAATACTCCAATGATCTCCGAATGCGGGCATACCTATTGTTCATTATGTATAAGACGTAGTTTGGCTACGGATCAAGTTTGTCCTATATGTCGAGTTAATTTATCCGAATCACAGTTATTCAAAAGTACTATGATTGAAGACCTTGTTCAATCTTGGACTAACATGAGGTATTATATATTTATATGTATGTGTATATATGATTTATGTGAAAATTTATAATTTTTTTTTTTTTTCAAGGCAAACCTTATTACGAGGTGCCCTGGAAGATGAAAGGATAAATTCACCTAACAAGAAATCTTCCAACAAGGAATCTTCTAACAATGAATCTAACTATGAATCGAATAACAATAAGATAAATTTGTCAAGTGATAAAGCTAATATAGAGAAGGGTGAAAAATATTATGTAAAGGGTGAAAATGAAGATGTGAAAGCTGATGAAAAAAAGATTGAAAATGAAGAAAATGATCCTCGAAATGATCAAAGTGATAATAAATTAGAAAAAGTTATTATTAATCAACAAGAAAAAGAAGAAATTAAAGAAAAAATCAAAGTAAAACTTATGCAAACACCAGAATCAACTCCGGAAAATTCATAGTTAAAATTAATTATTCTATAATTGTAATAACGATAAAAGTTCCTAAAAGGTTATGATTATAAAAAAATAAAAAATTGACCACCATCTTCATGTGTAAATGCTAGCTTTATACAAGATCTCCGAGCCCCAATTTTTGTACATTTTTTTTTGATCATTTTAAATCTTTTAAATCTCTAAATATTTTATATTTTTGTCTTTCGCGAACTCGAATTTTTATAAACTTTTTCTAAACTTGTTTTAAATATGTCATTAAATGATAAATTCCTCCAAACACTTCAAGGTATCATTTTTGTCGTTAGAATGCGCGTTTTCATTTCACATATTCTAAATTTTATGAATTTTTACGAATTTTATAAATTTCGCGAAATGTATAATAATGTAATATATAACAGACAATCAGCTTGTCACTTTAGCAGTTGCTTCTTTAGCAATAGTTGGAGCTTTGTCTTTATCTTCAAAGATTTTGAGTTTTTTGAAGTTAATATTTGATGTTTATGTGCGACCAGGAAAAAATGTAAGATATATTAGATAAATTTCAATATATTGCTTAGAAATCAATCAATCAATCAATCAATCAATTAATAAATTGATCAATAAAATTTTCTAGTTAAAAAACTTTGGGGCCGGAAGAGGAGCCTGGGCAGGTAAATTTTTTTCCTTTATTTTATTTTATATTTTTTTTATTTTTTTTTTTTTGTTCTGAATAATTATTTACATCATTTAACAGTTATTACTGGAGCTTCTGATGGAATTGGAAAAGAATTCGCTTTACAATTGGCAGCTGCCAAATTTAATATTCTTTTGATATCTCGTACTATGTCTAAATTACAAGAATTGAGCGAAGAAATTGGTTTGTGTATTCACATTTTACATATAGATATATATATTATTATGATTCTTAATATTATAAATATTTTGATGTTTTCAATATAGAAAAGAGATATCAAGTTGATACAAAATTATATGCAATGGATTTTTGCAAGGGTGATCCAAAAGATTATGAAAAAATAAAAGAAATAATTAGTACAATTGAAGTTGGAGTATTAATCAATAATGTTGGTACAAATCACGAAATTCCAACTCCATTTAATCTTGAAACCGATGAAATTGTTCATAATATTGTTGAAGTAAATATCGCTGGACTTTTAAAAGTTACAAAGATCGTATTACCAAACATGCTTTCTAGGTTTAAATTATTTTATTTTTTTTTATTCTCTCGTTGATTTTTATTTATCTCTCATTCCACCAAATAATTAAATATATTTCGTTTATTAGAAATAAAGGTCTCATTCTTAACATTGGATCATTTTCTGGAATGATGGGTACACCATATTTATCAGTATATTCTGGTTCAAAAGCATTTATGAATACGTGGTCACAAGCAATAGGAGCTGAACTTAAATCTAAAGGAATTGTTGTTGAACATGTTAATACCTATTTTGTGGTATGTTGTATATATATATATATTAAATTTATAAAGAAGGAAAATCTTTTATTCTTTTCACTTTTTTTTTTTGTATAATAAAATATTGCTATTTATATTTACTTAAATGTTTTTTAAAGGTTTCTGCCATGTCAAAAATACGAAGAGCATCTTACTTAATTCCATTACCGAAACCTTATGTTAAATCCATATTAACTAAAATCGGAGTACCTGGTGGTGCTTCTTGGGTACCTTTTAGTTCCATTAATTATCCTCCTCATGCTTTTTTTAGTTGGTTCCTGACAAATTCATTTTCTTGGAGTTTTTGGGTAAATAAAGCATTAGGTATGTCATATTTGTCATATTTAGGTTTATTTAATCAAAAAATTATTTATGTTATAATTTAATATGAATATTTATCATCATCATTACAGCTCAACAAGAAGATATCAGAAAACGTGCTTTAAGAAAAAGAGAAAGAGAGGCAGCAGCAGCAAAATCTCAATGATAGCATTACTTTTTTTTTTTTTAAAAAAAAAAAAAAATGATTATTTTAGGGTTAAATTAAGTTTAAATAGGTTAATTTAAGAAAACGTGCTTTAAGAAAAAAGAGAAAGAGAGACAGCGGCAGCAAAATCTCAATGATAGCATTACTTTTTTTTTTTTTTTTAAAAAAAAAAAATATATTATTTTAGGGTTAAATTTTAAGGTTAAATTTAGTTTAAATAGGTTAATTTAAGACTATGTAATTTATTTTTTCTTATATATTTATATTTAAAACTAAGAGCATAAAAACCAATAAATTACATAATAAAATATTTGATAATACAATTAATTAAATGATATTTAAATTACATGTAACATTTAATTCATGTTGAGAATGATGATGTTAAATTAATTAATTTTGCTTTTTGTCATAAAAGAATAATAAAATAAAGAATCCCTATTTACATACATGATTATTCACTGTAAATAACTATAATTAACTATAATTAACTATATAATTATCTTTAACTTTAATTAACTGAATTAACTTGAAATAAAAGATATTAAATACTTCAAAACAATATAAACGAATGTTTCTCTTCACTTTATTATTATTAATATTAAAAATATAACTTGATTATTCCTGTTGATGATCTCTTCCATCATCATCACCGATGTCACGGGTAAATCCGACATCTTCAAATTGTACAGATTGATATTGATCATATTGTTGTGGAGGATAAGTTGCTGAAGTTTCAGGAGGAGCATTATAATCATAATATTCTTCTTGACCAATATCAGAAGCAATTGATGCCGAACCTTCATATGTACTAGGTAATAATCCCGTTTTTTCATCATCATCATAAGTTGATTGATGTGTTAAATGTGAAGCTAGTTGTTTATTTTGTCGTTTATTTTTACGAATCCTATGACGTTCCCAATCTACCCATCGTTTACATGGAACTTTAGAAGAATCAAATTCTCCTTCTTTCTTACCATGATCATCTCCCTTTCCTTCCCCTTCAACTTTTCTATATTTGTTAAAAAAAAGAATCCATTAGATACATTTGTTTACTAGTAAAAATAATAAAGGAGAAGATAATAAATAATAAATAATAATAATAATCAATAATAATAATAATAACCTGGTCTCTCCCCATGAGAAATCATCAAAATGCCAATAGGCATAAGTTGGTAGAACAAAATTCCATACAGGTAAAGCCAATAAATATATTAACATCCATGCAATATATATTAATTTACGTGTGGTTATTAAAATTAATATAGCAGGTAAGCCAAGCACTGCTGCTAACATCATTAATGGTGTAGCTTCTGAAAAATCTGAAGGTGGATTCATAATCGATGCTATGATCAACCAAAAGGTTAATAATATAGCAACAGGTAAAACAATTGTTCCACATAATTCCATAAATATTACAAATTGCATAGAAAAACAAAAAGTTCCACAAAGATTTCGAACAAGAACAAGTTCCATTAAGTTATGAATTGTTGAATTAATCCATCTACGACGTTGAGAAAGTAATACATTAAATTCATCGGGTACAACCGTTTTGCATATAGCTCGTGGACAAAAAGTCATTTTTCGGTTAGGGAAATTTCTTAACATAAGAGTAGTCAAGAAACGATCTTCACCAAGAAGTAATAAATTTTTTTGATGTAATGTGACCACATCATTTTGAGAATATTCATCAACAATTTCTGGTTTTGTAATAATTGGTACCCAATCATTATCTCCTTTACGTGCTTTAAGTCGATACATACAAAAACATCCAGGTAAACAGGTAACACCCCCAAATACTGATTCAAATCCTTTACCCAAATGATGAGAAATATAATATTCAAAAACTTGAATTCCTGTTACCCAAGAGTCACGTTTGTTCGCGATCTTTGTTTCACCACAAAGACCCATAATTAATTCATCATTGCACATACAATTTATCAACAATCTAAGTGAGTCGGGATAAACTTTAGTATCAGCATCTACCTGTATGAGTTGTATGAGTGCATATATATATATATGTATGTATGTGAGTGTAAAAAAAAAATATTGAAAAATTAAAAAATTTTAATAATTTTTCGCATAATAAAAATAAAACAAAATCAAATCAAATCAAATCAAATCAAAATGACGAACCATTAACACAATTTCGAAATAGTCAGGAGTACAATTCATTAAATGAGTGACTTTTTTAAATAAATCATAGTCCAATGCCGTCATACGATCATTATACGTGACTGATTTAAAGAAATTCATGAGAATCAATTGGGAATCACGTTTTCCTCGATTACCGGCTTTTGGTTTCTTTTGTTCTTCGGGGGTACCACATTTGGAAACAAGTATTGTTGGAACACGTCGATCTTCGTAAACTATATATATATATATATATATCGATCAATTTATTATTGCATCATTAGAAATAGAAAAAAAAAAGAAAAAAAAATATTATATAAAGATCAAATAATGTTAATAAACTTACGGAAATGTCCGCAATAAACTTTGGCCATATTATGTCGTTTAGATCCAGCTGCAACAGCGATATAACTTTGAGGTTGAGGATCAAGAAAATTTTCATCCAATTTGATAAGACTGATAGCAATTTCTGGTGTACTTAGTTTTTCACCATGACCAGTAATATTACCATCACATATAAGAAACAATAATTTACGGTCATCTGGATATGTTGTCGCAGCCATGGATTCACAAGTCATTCTTAATCCACTTTCTCCTTCAGAATAACAAGTAACAAGTAAAACTGTGAATAAATCATTTCCAATTTCATTCATATTAATAGTTTTAATCGCAGAACCCGAATCACTTTGATGAGCCCAAGGCGCAGCTTGATGCCTAGATTGACCAGCGGCAATAACTTGAGGAGATATAACGTTTTTCTTTGTTGTTTTAGGTTTACGAGCGAGTTGATGAGATATAAACCAATCAAAAATGCAAGCCATTAAAAATCGGACTATTATGATACTCAATATTGTTACCAACATAATGAGATTAAATAGATCTGAAGTAAAACAACCAATAGTTTGTTTGCTTATATGACCTGCGTAATATTTTTGAGTGAGACATTTTAAAACGGCTTGTTTTGTATTTTTATGTCCAAAGAATAAACGGGTAGCATCTTTTCCACCTTCCGGATGATCAGTGTTTAATGCATCACGAATGATACTATCAACCATATCATTCGTATCATTCAAAGGATTAGGATAAGCTTTTATGTAGGGATCGAAATTAAGTACTACGCCATCAAAAACCAAATAATTTGTCAAATTCCAAAGTTCCTCCCAATCATATCCAACTAACTTTGAAGAATTTTTTATATTATAGTCCTTCTCGATGGTGGTTATATCATTTAAATAATCAAGGGGACAAGTTGAATTACTAGAAGTATCATTACATAAAGGTAATGTAACTGCAGCAAAATTTTGTATGGAACTATCTAAGCAACCTGGTATATCAGAATTACTTCTTTTGAAAAGGTAAGTAATATCTTGACCACTTTTTTCAGTTGATGTAATTAATTTTTGTAATTCAGTATTATTGGTGGCCGTAGCATTAAATTGCCAACCCAAAATTCCAAGAAAACCTAAACAAAAGAATTAAATAAGAATCATATAATCATATAAAAATTTATAAGGAAAGTTATTTTAATAATAATTATAATAATGATCTCTTTACCGGCAGTTTCTCCATAGTTTAGATATAAATAAGAGTTCTGCTGCGAGTCAGGACATAACAAAGGTCTTAACCCAACAGTTAAAAAGACAACAAGGAGACCCATAAGAAATGCAAGGAAACATAGAGTAACTTTTTCACGCCAAGCTTGTTGAGATTGTTTATCGTGAAAACCAAATTTGGATAAAATAACATTAGGTGCCCAAAAGGTAACTATACGAGAAAATATAACCCATGGGTCGAGGGGTTTTCTTTCTTTTTTACCAGTTAAAAGAGGAGTAGCGGCTTGATAACGTTCGGGTCTACTTAAAGTTTTATTACGACTAAGAGTGTTTCCTCTAGCGGGAGGCGCGTAACTCGCATCCATATTACTTTACGTATACTTTTTTTTTTCTTTATCGTTTTTTTATTGAAATGGATGGAGTCGGGGTTTATATTGTTTATATGGCAATATAACAATTGTCGCGACGCCACAAACTAACCAATTTGGAAATAGGAGAAGTAAGTAAAATGATGAGATTTCTATAAAAAAACCAGATCATTTCCTGAAGACTGAACGCAATGAGATTATTTTTATTTATGGTTTAAAAATAAAAATAACCTGTTTAATCCTTATATTATCTCGATTATATCCTTGTTAATCTCGATTATCTCGATTATATCCTTGTTAATCTCGATTATCTCGAATTGTAAAACAAGTCTTTGTTTTTTTCCCGCATCCGCAATAAAATTAAACGGGAATTCCTTTTTTTTAATGTATTGATCATTGTGCTTAAAAGTGGCTTTTTTTTGAAAACAATACAATAGATCACTATTTAACTTTAATATCTCTAATAATCTTTAGATAATTTAAATAATTTTAATAATGATCGCCGTTGATCTTGTTTTTTTGTAAAATCGAAAAATTGTTCGAGTTTATCACCTGACAATACTTACTTTTTTTGAATAATCAAGTTCGAATTTAGCCTCAAACTAAAATCACAGGATAATACAATATTAAAAAAAATCATTAAAATAAATCAAGATCTTTGAGTCAAATGGGTAATAACTGTAATTATGCATTGAGAACATGTGCCTAACAGATCAGTGCAGATCTTTAAAATTATGCAATGCGCCATAATGGTTGCAGAAATCCGATAGGCAAAACTTTTAGTAATTGTATAATTAAATTATACTTTTTTTTTCTTAATTAGAACCATATTTTTTATTTATCTTTTTTTTTTTTTTGTGTAAATTTCATAAATATAAAATTTTTTTTTTCATATATCCCAATTATATTCACACAAAATTTATAATTAAAATATCATACAAAAAGTCTTTTTGAAATAATAAAAATCTTTTCCTATCTTACAATGTTGTTCAACAAAAAAAAAACACATTTTTCTTATTTACCATTTTTCAATCTTTAAAATTGCATGTGTAATAGTACATCCTGTTAAAAAGAATTCTCTCAAATAAAATAAATTCTCTAATAGTAATAACAAGAAAGTAATGCATTATTTTAATCTTCTAAAACTTTCCTGGGTCTGACATCATTCCTAATAGGAATTTTTAATCCCTGTTTTGCAAAAGCTTTTGAAAGCTCAGTTGATTCTGAATCGCGAAATTATTATTATTATTATTATTATTAAATTAATTAATTAATTAATTAATTAATTATTTAATTTTAATATTAAATAAAATAAATAAAATCATTATAATCTCATAAATATAATCTTCATTCCCAAAGATAAAAAAAAAATTCTTCTTACCAGTCATACCCGGGAATTTTTTTGCCGAATATACAGTGAAAGGATCTGAAAATGTTGTGGCAATTATTTCGGTTTTGGTGTTTATTAATCGATCCTCGCTTTGAAAGTGATACATTATAATAGAGAGAGATAGAGAGATAGTATTTATATGTAAAAAATATCCCATGTTAGTAACATAAAAGAAAAATAAAAAAAAGGAAATCAGGTCAAAAGATATATATATAATAGTGATAATAATATGTAAGTTGATACTAACGTTCCCAATTTCATTAATGAAAATTTTAGGGTATACTTTCCTTCCGTACGTATGGAAAGATCAGGAAAACAAAAATAACATCCTGGTTCACCAGTAGTATTTTTCAAAATTGCTGGAGACGAGACTAATGATCCCATAAGTACACGAGTAGTTTTAGGGGGATTACTAATCACATTACGTTCTTCTCTACAATCTTCCGACCACAAAGTGACATGAAGAACAAAAAATGGATTTTGCAGCATGCTTTGGTAACACAATTAATAATAAAAATAAAAAATAAAAAATTAATTAATTTATTCATTGAATTTAAATAAAAAGACGCGTTGTTGTTAATTTTAATGAATTAACACAAACCTTAAACTCATGCTTATATAATCCAATGTAAAAAATAAAAATAATTAAAAATAAATGATGAATAAAAAAAATAAAGGAGAAATAATAAATAATCATAAAAATGATCTTAACCTTGTATCAAGTTTTCCTTTGTCATCATTTACTACTAACTGAACGATCGGCGGTGGGTCGATCGGCCGTCGATCTTTCTCGCCAAATCCACACATACGAGCTCGTAAAGGTTGCTGGCAAACTATTAACGAGTAAGACCTTTCAAGAAAAATCGAATAAATTATTTTTTAATCAATAATTGATGTTTTTATTATAATTAAAAGTATTTGATGATTGATTGACCAAGCCATCATCCGAAAGATAAGGGAAGGTCACCAGATATAATGATCTCAAAGAAATATTCATTCATAGAGAGAAGAGATCAAAGGTAAGAAGATGCAATGAGTATAAAAATCATATAAAATATAAATGTCATGTGATAATATATTTGATTGCATCCAATGGAAAACAGGTAATCAAACCTTTTTTTTATTTTTTTATATCAATTCGAGAGACATACCTTTTTTCGTCTTCACTTACAGCCTGAGTATCAAAAGTGCCAAAACGTTCCTTTTTGAATTTGGTTTTAGTATTTAAATTTTGTGTAGAATTCTTTACAGAACTTGAGGCTATATTTTTTTCAACGACCTCTTGTGAAGTAGAATTAGCATTAATGCTGTCAGACTTTGAAGTAGTTCTTTTCGAAGATACTTGGTCTGAATACTCATCGGGAAGTAATACCTGAGGCATTGGAGAAGGATTCATAGGAGCTATTGGGTATGGAATATAGTGGTGAGGTGGATGGTGAAGGTGATAGTCATAAACAAGATGATGTGGAGGAGGAATGGGAGGAGTATAATATCCCTCAGGAGGATACTCGGCACGTCCAGGACTATGGTATTCGGTTCTTATCGGTCCACCAGTTGGCTGATGGTGTGACGGCGGAACGTTTCCGCTATACATTATGAGGAAGGGACTGAGTAAAAAAGTTTAAGGTGATAGTAAAGAAGTTTGTCGAGGGATTTGTAAAACAAAAGTAAAATAAGAGAAAATATGGCTCGAAAATTTGAAAGTTGGAGCCTTTAACATAAAAAATTAAATAAGAAAGCCAAAGAAAAAGTATGTGGGTCAAAACTGTTTTATATTTATAGAGTGTACAACTGTTTATCCCGTGATGTGCAGATTTCTTATTTTAAATTTCTTATTAAATTCTCATTCATTAACATATATATAATATATAAATCTATATATAATCTTATAGAATCAAAGATAATCAAGTATAATTTTTCGGAGCAGACTCCCGGGCTTCTGAACATCCAGACTTTCAAAAGTATCAAAAATTCAAATTAATATGTCAAACAACATCAAGGGGTAATACACAATAACCATTTGGTACAATCAATGAAAATACTTGTGTGAGAAATTTAAATTTTAGATGAACAACAACCATAACAATAAAATAATAATAATAATAATAATAATAATAATAATAATTAAATAATAATAATAATAATAATAATAATAACAATAACAATAATAATAATAATAATAATAGTAATAATTGTAATAATTACATATTACATATAACAATATAAATAAATAAATATATAAATAATTAAATTAATTGATTCATAAAAAATATATATATATATATTTATAAAATAATTTACAATAAATCTATTAATAAATCTAAAGTATAATTTTTTTAATATGTACTTTTTAATTTTAATTTCATTTTATTGTTGCCAACCATTTTCCCATATTCCATCATCATTTCCATTAACTGTTTTACTGTTATTTCCATTTGAAGCCATCATGATCATTGGATCAATAATTCGTAATTCATCTTTAATTGTATTTCGAGATAATGTATCAATTTCTTTGGCTATTAATGCAATAATTTTTTTAAATTTTCCATCAACTTTAAGTACACTTTCAGTAAAATTCGTCGTCATTATATTATTAGTTCCCGCTAACAATTTGTTATAAACTTCTACTAATATATCGCATAGAGTGTAGAATGTTTGAAAATAATCTAGATCGAATGGCTGATAAAAATAATGAAAATATATATAATAATAATAATAATAAAAATAATAAAACATAATAATAATAATAATAACAATAAAAATAATAATAATAATAAAAATAATAACATTTTTTTTTACTTACTATGTTGGGTACACAAAGATATGTATATTCTCCACTTTCCTGAAATGATGCATCTTCGTCTTTTACTATTTTTGATTTTCGAAAAAATATTTTCTAAATATATAAAAAAATTCAAAAATTCATCATTTAATTTTCAAATTCCAAAAATAAAATTATTAATTTTATACAATTATCATTAATAAATTTTACCATTTTTTGTTTTGAATGTTCATTCGTATGATATTCAAATTCTTGTAACATTACACTTAAGGCTTTCACATAATCTTGAGGATTAGTGATATCAAGTATTGGCGCCAGTGATGCTCCGAGGATAAAAAAATTCCCCGAACTATAAAAAATTTTCTTAATTTTGCAATTCTTTTCTCGCGTAAAATTACATATATATACATATATATATATATATTTATATATTTTGGAGATATTTAGAGAGAAGAGATTTCATCAATACACCAACCGTTTTTTCATTTTAGAATTCTCAAACACCATCCCTAAATCTTCTTTACTTAAACACACGGTATTAAACCAATGTATCTTTCCTTCATGTGCTCGTTTTAAATATGTAAATGTAGTAATTCGTTTTTGTACAAGTTCATACAAATAATCATATGATGCCGTGGATCCATTATTTTCATTAGAAGAAGTACGCGGTGCTGGTTGAGGAAAAGGTGCTGCTGGTAAAATCGTTGTTGGTGTATTACCTGCATTCGACGGTGATGACGGATTATGATTATGATTATTATTATTATTATTATTATTATTTGAGAGGCCTCCTGATTTATCCATTAATTTATTATTATTATTATTATTATTTATTAATTAATTAATTAATAATGATTTTCTTGTAAAGACTAATAAAAGTAATTAAATTAAAATGATTTAATAATAATAATAATTATTATAATTATAATTATAAAAAAGAAATAAGAAGGAAAAGAACGAATCTGGTTTATTTAATCTAATGACGCAACGTATATAAAGTTTTATTTATATGTCGTACAACAAACAATGAAATGTATAAATTAATATCATAGTAATAGTAATAGCTGATAATGGATGGAGATCATATTATTAGTGATATGGATGATGACTGTTGTTTCAATCTAGATGATTTAAATAATCTAGAAGAGGTTTCTGATCTAGATCCTCTACTAGATCCAAACGAAATTATAAAGGAGATACCAATATATTTATCTCAACAACTTTCAAATAAACTTTATATAGTTCAATTCCCTGTTCGACCACGTTCTAATCCTTATGTTGGTAAAAATACTCCACGAGAAGCACGATATAAACCACAAACGAATAAACTTGAACTTGACATTCCATTACAAACCAATTCTTTATGGTATAATCGAGATAGAGGAGAAGAATTAATGTTGGGATTAAATGAAAAAGAAGCTCAAACTATATATGATCGAACATGGAAACGAGGAGATCAAACTGATGGATTATTAGATAAACAAACGTTACAATCTACAATTGTTCCACCACAAGCAAATTATTGGATGGGAGTGATGAAGGATGGTAGATTTAATTTTCATTACAGAGATTAATTAATTAATTAATTAAATTATTAAAGATAAATTTAAATTTTATTTATTAAAAGAAAAATAATTATTATTATAATAAATAACAAATAAATAACAAATAAAAAATAATAATAATAAATAAATAACAAATAATAACAAATAACAATAAATATAATAATAATAATCATCATTATAATCATTATTATTATTATAATTATAGATGGCCTTCACTTAACACCAATTCATGCAACATTACAATTACGACCGGGATTGAAATATTTGGATAAGATTGATGAGAAAAATAAAAATGCAAATAAAAAAGCACAAGTTTTGGAAGAAGAAGGAAATTTGAATGATTTAAAAGGAGTCAAATCTATGAATACTGATGATCCAGGTGTTGGTTCCAGTAAATCCAAAAATTCTGGAAAAGGGAAAACTCTTGGGGTATTATTAATCAATTAAATTAATTAAATTCTACTTTTTTTTTTTTTTGAATTCTTTATTTTTATTTTTATTTTTTTGACAATTGCAACATGTTTAAATAAATTATTTTTATTTATTTATTTATTTTTTTTTTTTTATATTAATTATTTCAGAATGCAGCAACTGAATCTAATTCAGATAAATCTATTCTTAAAAAACATGCTCGTCCCAAATCACAACAACGAGTAGGAGAAGAAGAAATCTGGATGAAAATGAGATATTGTGATATGGAAGTAGGTAAACAAATCAATCAAATAATCAATTTGTCAATTTTTTTTTTTTTAACTGATCATTAATTTCAACTTTATTATTATTATTATTATTATTATTTATTATTATCTATTATAATTTATTATTATTTATTATTATTATCATCATTATTATTATAAATTTATAGTCAATTGAAACCTCCAACTTATTTGATCAACTTATCACTATAAATAATGATCCTTTGATATGTAAAACAGCAAATATGAATGAATATCTTGATAGAATTAGTTCTTTTCCACCAGAAATAAATAATGATAATAATGATGATGATAATAATCTTGATAAAACTCAAGAATTGATGGCGGTACATCCTCAATATAATCGAAGTTTTATTATTTCAGATCAAATAACCGCAAACAACCCCACCACAGCTACAACATTTGGTGCAAAATCTCAACCTATTAATAATCCCAAAAATCAAAATAATACAAGAGGAAAAGGTACAACAAGAGGAGCTAGAGGATCAAGAGGATCAAGAGGAAAGAAAAATCAACGAGGAAAACATACTTGAATTAAAATTATTATTATTCATTAATATCAATTATATTGTTCAAATTTGTAAAATTTATATTTGATTTTAATTCATGTAAAATAAAAATTATTTTATTTTATTTTTTCTTCTGCAGAGGGAAAAATCAAATTATTATGGTAGTGTTCTAGAATTCGTTCAGTTTCAAAACCTTTTGGTGTCACCATCAATACTTTTCTGCGCCTCCAAAAAATATTAGACAAGTACTTAATTCGTGATGAATATTTATTTTTTTTTGCATTTTAAGAAGTTGTCATTAGTATATATATCGTTTTCTCAAATATTTTTTTCTATCTATCAAAGAATAAATTGTCAATTATTAAAAAATTCTATTTATAAATCAACTTATCCAAGGTATTTTCCGACATTTTCGCTGACGTTTTGTTTGTAAAAGACAAAATAATTAAAAAAAATACAAGTAATTAAATGTCATTAAATGCTAATTATGTAATGCTGTAATCGTATTTTAAACACAAAAAAAAAGAAGGTAAAAAAAGTTAACAGTTGCATACGTAATATATCTATATACTGTATATACTGTATAATATTGTATATACTGTATAATATTGTATATACTGTATATGTATGTAAGCTTAATTCTATGTTTAAATTATTTTTAGTTTCAATTAAGATTATAAATTGATAATACTATAAAATACTTTTTTTTCGCCACCTAAAATAAAACTACTCACTAATCATCTGATAAAATTCTCCAAAAATTGTTAATGCATATAATTGTATATAATTGTTCGAATTATTGTATTATTTACAAGTGTGTATTATTATTATTATTATTATTTTAATTATCTTTCTTCTTTCTCCTCCTCCCGAAGCTATTCACTCTCTCCTTCCCAATTCTCTCAATCCTCGAATTTTTTTTTTAAAGAAAAGTTTTTTTTTAATACTTTTAACTACATTTCAATCACTTCCTGATGATGAACCACTATCTTCATGTTCTTCCTGCTTTGAACCTTCAAAAAAATTTTCAACATAAATTAATTTATTTATTATATTTAATTTAAATTAAATTAGTATATGACAAAAACTAATAAAATTCTTATTATTATATTTACCTTCTCCCCCGAACAATGCTGCTAATGAAGTTGGACCCGTGCTTGATTTTCCTTCCTATAGTATTTATAATATTTGCAATATAAAAATATTGTTATAAAATGTTACGAAAGGAAGTGAGATAAACATTTGAGAACGAGAATAATATTCAAATTCCTACAGCATTCGTCTTTCTATCTTTTCCCATTTCTTTATTCAATTGGCTTTCCAACTCCCCTAAAGTTGACTCTAAGGCTGAGTCTGAATCAGATGCATCATCTTCACCCGATTCATTGTCAGATCCTGTTGCTGATGATGTACTGCTATCTGATGATGAAAGTCCAGATGATTCACTACCATCTCGTTCATCTCTCTCATCTCTCCCATCTCTCTTTGTTATTTCATCCTCGATTATTTCACCATTCATTTGATTATTTGTACTTGTACTCTGTACTACCGGTTCATCTACTTCTTCAAATTCATCTGACAATAATACTTGTTCATAATAATCATCTTCAACTCCATTCTCTTCGTAATGTCCATTTTCTTCATATCCATTTTCTTCGTATATATGATTTTCGGGATAATCCTCTTCTTCTTCCATCTCATCTTCGAAATCCCCTTCTCCAGAATGTTCTGCAACTTCAATCAGCTCCTCGAATTTTTGTTCCCAATCTCCAAACTCGGGCGAACCAACTCCATTTAAATCGACATCTGGGCCAATCTTGTAACCGTAATTTATACATTCTAACCTCCATTTCTATTATAATTTTATTATAATTTTTATAATTATATTATTATTATTATTATTATATAAATTATTATTATTATTATGAAATTTTATTATAATCAAAATCAAAAATAACAAAAAAAAAAATAAATAATATACGTACTCGGGTTATTTCATCGAAAACCACTACGCATTGTCTTTCGTCATCATCATCTTCGTCAAGCTCTCCTAAATGATTATCGAATCGTCGTCCATTTAATGTATAATCTTCATCCTAATAAAACAAATGTTTAATGTTTCAAAATGATTAATAATTAAAATTAGGTATTTAAGAGGATCATTATTATATTACGATTATTTCTCAAACAAAAATACCATTTCACTACTAATGGATATTTGAATTGTTTCATTGTCTTCATCAATTTCAAGTTCTGTGGCCTTTGTTAAATCTATATTTTCTTGACCTTCGTCTGTAATACAATAGATAATAAAATTTTAATAGAGAGAAATAGATAGAGAGAGACAGAGAGAGAGATTATATATTATATATATAGATATTTTCATTTATGAAACAATATTTTTTCCTTACAAATAATTTTATAATGAGAATTTGTTGATGGTATTTTAAATGATTTTCCCAAATGAAGTTCAAATTCTTCCACTACATCGGAATCGCCTATTCCGTTTTGGTCGATATCACAATCAAAATTTTCGATATCAGACATTTATTTTTGTAATATTTGAATACAATGTATATCAAAAAAAAATTATTATTATTATATATTAAAAAAAGTTATATTGTTATTGTTTAGAAAGAAGGAAGTTTTTTTTTTTTTTTTTTAAGGTTTTAGTTTAATCGGAAAGAGTAAAAAGTACAATAATTACAAAATAGAAAATTAAATAATTTTCCCAATTGGTTGACCAAGATCTCGATTATGTAAGCTAAACCATTATTTAGGTATGCTATAGATAATATAGATAAGACAACTGCAAAAATAACTAAAAATAGATATAGATCATTAAATCTCGTCAAAAAAAAAAAAAAAAGAAGGGAAAAAATTAAAATTAAAAAATGTTCAATTCTTTATTTACTCGTTCCTTTGGTCAACAAACATATAACACAAATATATTACCTGGGAAGATTTTGCCGGTAATTTTAAAAATTAATAACCTTTTGGTTTTGAAAATTGGTTTAAAAAAAAAGGTTTTGGGTTTATCGTTAGAGCTTTGAGAAAACACCTCGGGCTATTTTATTTCCAGGTATTTTCTTTAATTTTTATTAATTTTTTTATATTTATTAATTATATTATATTAAAATTTATTAATTATATTATATTAAAAATTATTAATTATATTTATTAATTAATTATAATTTATTAAATTAATTTTTAAATCAAATTATAATTTTAATAAAATTTATTAAAAAATTAAAAATTATTTTTTCTGATTTCTAATAGGCCAAGGTGCTCAATATGTTGGAATGGGAAAAGATCTTTTCATGAGTTTTCCTTCGGCTCGTCAAGTTTTTGAAGAAGCCGATGAGTCTTTAGGAACAAAACTTTCAAGTTTAATATTCGATGGACAACAAGTAAATCCTTATTTTAAAAGTTATAAATAGAACTTAATAAATTAATATACTGTTAATTCAATTAAATTTAAAATTCATTGTTTATTTAAATCTAAATTTTAATTTGTTAAATTTAAATTCATTTATTAAATTCAGAAAGATTTGACATTAACACAAAACGCACAACCTGCAATATTAACAACATCCATTGCTGCACTTAAAATATTGGAGGTAATTTTTCTTTAAATAATTTTGTATCAACAATATATACAAGCATGTATTTTTAAATAATTATAATAATTTAATTTTATAATTATAATAATAATAATGATGATAATAATAATAATAATAATAATAATAATAATAATAATAATAATAATAATAATAATAGAGCGAATTTGGATTTGATGTCGAATCTTCATGTACATATGCTCTTGGTCATTCTTTGGGTGAATATTCTGCATTGGTTGCAGCAAAATCTTTATCTTTGTACGATGCTGTTAGACTTGTTGTAAGTAAAAGGTTTCGAAATTTATGTTCTAAAGCAAATATTTTAAATATATTTAAGAAATATATAATTCTAAGGAATTATTTTTAAATTATAGCGACGACGTGGTGAATCCATGGCAAAAACAGTCTCTCAATTAGGTGTCAAAACAGCTATGGCAGCTCTTGTTGTCCGTGAAGAGAATTTACCAAAATTACGAGGAGCGATAGAAGAAGTGTGTTCAACTTTACCTGAAGGGGAATTTGTTGAATTGGCTAATCTTAATAGTGTATGCTTTTTTTTTGGTTATCGTTATTTTTAATTTTTCAAAATTGATGAAAATAAATTTTTTTTTTATAATAGTCCTTTCAGGTTGTATAATGTTTTACCAGACAGTTATAATAAGAAGATAGATAGATTTTTTTTTTTTTTTACAATAATTTGAATAATTTGGATCTAATGTTTTAGTACGAATGACGCGAATGGTAGGCAGTCATAAGCGGGACCAGTCAAGCTGTAGATCAGGCATCGCGTTTTTTGCAATCTAAACGACTTGCGGCGCGTGCCGTGGATCTTCCAGTTTCGTGAGTTACTTTTATAAGTAGTTTTTTTTTTATCAGTATTATGATTATTATTATAATGTTATTTCATTAATATTAAATATTAATAATATTTTTATAGTGCACCTTTTCATTGTAAATTGATGCAACCAGCAGCAGAAATGATGAAAGAAGCACTAAATGGAATTAAATTTCAAAAGCCAATTGTGGATGTTATATCAAACGTGACAGCCAGTCCAGTAAATTTAAATTTCTTTTTTGTATTTGTAAATTGTTTTCATGTAACATTTCTCTTCCTTCATTATAATTTATATAATATTTAAAATATTAAATATATATATATATAATATAAATATATATAATATAAATATATATAATATAAATATATATAATATAAATATATATAGATAAAATCAGCAGAAGAAATACCTTTATTGTTATTTAAACAAGTGACATCCACAGTGCAATGGCAAAGAAGTATAAAATATTGTAGAGGAAAAGGTCTTGATAATTTTATTCTATTTGGACCTGCAAGAGTTTTGGCCAATTTATTGAAGAAAGATTTTCCTCTTGATCGTATAAGGTTATTTATCATATTTATCATATACAATAATAATAATAATAATAATAATAATAATAATAATAATAATAATGTGATAATTTATTATTATTTTAGGCCTTTCACTACTGTCAAAGATATTGAACTTTTTGCGGATTGTATAAAATTAAAACATGCGAATACATTATAAATTTTTTATTTAATTAATATAAATATAAAAACGTATCAATTTTATTAATATTATTGAAAGATCAATGATTATAATTTTAATCTTTTTTTTTTATTAAATTTATATTAATTATTGTTATTATTATACAAAAATAAACTAATTTAATTATTTTAATTATTTTAATTAATTAATTATTATTTTTTAATGAATTAATGAATGTGTACAAAAGTAAAAAATGATTTGATTTTGCTTAACTCATAGACATTTATTACATATGCATTTATATATATATATATATAATACACTTTACATATGTATTTATATTATTTAAAACATAAATCCCGAATTCATTTTTTTTTTCAATGATATGATAAATATACATCTTAATTAATCAAAAAATATTACAAAAAAAAATAAAGTTATTATATAGCTATATATACATATAAATCTCTCTTAAAGCATATTAAATCATAACCAAATTTGGTTAACTTCATTAATTTCACTCGGATTTTTAGTTAATTTTTAATTTTTTAAATCATAACGAAACCTTTTGTAGTTGTTGTTTTTTGTTTTTTTTTTTTTTTTGTTTTTGTTTCTTGTAACTAAAAAAATAATTAATTATTATTCCTGAAAATTTTAATTAATTAATTTGATTTAAATTTAATTAATATTTAACCATTTGGTAGTTGAAGTAGGTGTAGTTGGAGAAGAGTTTGTAGAAGTGGAAGATTCCGAAGAAATGATACCATCTTCTAATTCTTTTACTTCTTTTGGCCAAGCACCTACTAATCTAATCATACTTCCCCATGCCAAATCAATTATCCATCCTGGTAAAACGTTATGAATTAGAACATGCATTTTGGCTATTCTTCCAACTACATAACGATCTTTAGGAAATCCAACTTCAACTGCTTCAATAACTGTTTGCAATATTTCAAGTGGATTTTCTTGATTCGAATGAATCCTTTTCCAAAATTCAATTGCTTTTTGAATATAATCTTCACCATAACTTTTTGATGTTTGATTAATTTCAGGGGAAGCAAAAAATTTCTTTGAAATTCCCATTAAATCTGGACTCGAAGATTTGTTTATAAGTGGACCAGGTTCAATCATTGATACATGAATTTTCCAAGGTAATAATTCAACTCGTATGGTATCAAGCATTGCTTCTAAAGCATGTTTTGAAGCACTATAAGCTCCATAAAATGGAATGGTCGTTCTACCTAATATTGAAGTCATGTTGATAATACGTGGATAAATATCACGATCCTTTGGTTCTTTTGATAAATTATATTTAACATTCTTTCTTAAAAAAGGTAATAATTCTTTGATTATTTTAATTGGACCCATAAAATTTACTTCCATGGTTTTCTCAATTTGTTCGTTAGATGTGAATTCAAATGCAAAACCTTCATTACATCCGGCATTGTTAATTAATGCAAATAAACCTTTTTCTTTGGTAGTAGTTTCTACCATACGAAGACATTGTTGAATTGAAGTTTCTTTAGTTACATCAAGTAGAAAAGGTTTAAAGCTAGGAGAACGACTTTTACTAGATATAAGTTCTTTGAAAGCTTTCTCTGTGTTACAACCTAAATTTTTTTAAATTATTATTAAGATTAAAATTATTAAATTTGAAATTTGAAATTTAAATTTTAAATGATCAAATTTATTAAATTTTTAAATGATCAAAATTAATTGATCAAATTTAATTTACCTGCAAACACAAAATAACCCTTCCGATGTAACTTCCTTGCGATCAAGCTTCCGATACCGGAATCACAATCAGCATCACAACCAGTAACAAGGACATAACGATCCGAAAATTTTTGGTTTGGCGGTGGAGAGGAAAAAAAGCTACCAACGTATGATACGATACCCATTTTATAATTTGATTTTTATAATTTGGGTTGATTGTGATAATTTGATTATTGTGATAAATTTGATTGTCGTGATAAATTGATTGTGATATAATTTGATTTGATTGATACGATTTGGATATTTTTATGACGTGAAGATAACCAAAAATAAATTCGTTACAGTAAGAGAATTTCTTTATATTCTAGTCAAAGAGAAATGAATTGTTAAATAAATAAATATATTTATGTTTTTGATGAATGTATTATTACTTTTTTTTTTTTTTTGATAAATGCTATTTATTTTTGATAGATGGAAATATTCTATATTTAACAAATTTAACAACAATAATACCAACCTGGAATTTGTGATAGATTGCAAATAGGCATAAAATAAAAATAAAAAGAAATGAAGAAATGAAGGGGGGGAGTTAAGGTTGAGGAGTCGTTGCAATTAATTCAACAATGATGGACAAAAATTTGACAGAATCTTGAATCCGTGTGTTTATATACATTTGTCATTGAATAAGTCATGAATAACAATACAAATAAAAAACAAATAATAACGATTAATAATCAAATAATAATAATATTATTATTATTATAATAATAATCATCAAAATAACAAATAAATAATTTAAATAATATAATACAAATAAGAATAATTTGAATGCTTTTTTCGCTGCGAGACACAAAAAATCTTTTGAATTAAATTATTTGATTGTATTATTATAATTATCATATTATCATTCAATTGCATCAATTGCAGTTTTCACATGTGAAAAAAAAAATTTAAGGTGAAACAAACAATTAAACAACGAGAATTTTTATAAATAAAATAATAAATAAACGGTTGTCATCTAGTTTTCTACATTAATTTGAGTAAACTAAAAAAGGAAACAAGATCATCTGAAATTATCTGACTATTATACTATTTATACTAATTACTAACTTTTTTACTATTTTACTTTCATAAATAAAAATAAAATAAAATAATAAATGGTAAGATAAAGCCTAAGCGTTTGTCACGTTTTATTGCGTTTTTTTTCACGTTTTCACATTTGTTCTTGAGTTTCAGACCAATAAATACAACTATTACATAATAATTGCAATTGTTGATCGTATTCTACTATATACTATTAAATGCTATTGTTGTTTTTATTATGTAATATATATATAATAGATTATTTATATAATGGATTTATATATTAGGATACTCCATTTATATATAATATATATATATATGCTATTTTTAATAATCTAATAATAATCTAATAATAATCTAATAATAATAATAATATATATCTAATATATTTAATAGTATATTCGAATTATATATATCTAAATGAGTAGATTATTAGATATTACGATACGATTATATTATACTTGTTTTATATTTTTATAATGGATATCGATGATGTCATAACCAAAATATATATAATGGTTCATTTTAGTGAGATAATGAGATATATGATCTACCTTTGTATAAAATTCTGCAGACCTGCCACTTTTAATGCGACACCGCTTTCAAAAAACTTCTTGCATCGAGAAAATTTTTGTGATTTCAAGCTTCGAGTATATAAAGAGCATTGATTTTCATTTTAGTATTATTGGTATGTCATTTTTTTTGTTACCACATATGAATTTAGACGAATTTTTTTATGAATTTCCCGAGCACAATCAAATATATCAAATATATGCACAAAAATCGATCATTTTTTTCAGAAGTCAGTGCGAACAATAAAAATCTGGACAAAAAAAAAAGGTCATATCTTGCATAAAAGAAGAGCAAATGACCAAATGAATTATTAATATAACTAATTAATGAATAACCAATGCAACTAATGAATGAAATCTAATGAATGAATTACCAATGCGACTAATGAATAATATCTATTACTCAGATGAAGAGTTGATGAATAAATTACCAGGTGAAAAAAAAAAAAATAATTACCCCGATGAAAAGCTAATGAATAACTAATGAGGAGATGAAAGTGAAAAAATGAAAATCTATGTCATAATTGAAACAAACGCCAATGCGAATGTTTACGAATAATACTTATACAATTTCCCTTTGTGAACACGCATTAAAGACTCGTGGACCTACATAAAGAAGCGAATATTATTCTAATATGGACTTGATATTATAAAAACTTCAATTCCAAATTTATAATAATTCTAACCAATTCTAACCAGATATACCAGATATTGCATAATCATCTTCATACAAAACGAAAAGGAATAAATACGATTAACATAACACAATTAACATAACACAACGACACAACAACAACAACAAAAACAACAACATTAACAAAACACAACACAGACACAATACAAACACAATTACACAATTAACAACGTTTGCGTAATCATGATAAAAACGGGACACACGTGAATTGTTCATTGTTAGCGTCACAAATTATGATAATAATGCAGCTCTAATTTTTATCATTATTCTCTTCATTATTCTCTTGATTATTACATTATTGAATTTTATTATGAAAGTTAGGAAATATGCGAAATGTGCGTAAAATTGATGCACTTTTTTTCATTAATCAACCTAATTAATTTTTTAGGTTAGGTTATTGTCATACAAAATGTGATTCAAAATTTATTAAAAAAAAAATCTTTCTTTAGATGATATTCTTCTAATGATTCTAATAAAAATTTTATTTTTCTTTGTAGAGGTTTTTTTTTTAAAATGGAAATACCTAAACTTGTTAAATTTGTGAAGAGTAAATTCTAATGAAAATAAAAATTATCCAAAAATTTTCAATCCATTGAAACTATTTTCTATATTATTATCATTATCATCATCATCATTATTATTATTTTTATAATTATTCTTGCCTAATAATGAGGAATACAATTCATCAATCATTTCTTCATGCCATGTGCCATCTGGTATTGGAACCATAAAGTTTTGTAATTTCTCATGTATATGATATCTTAATAAATATTATATAAATATATATATATTATTATTGTTGTTGTTATTATTATTATTAATGTTAATGAATCAAAAGAATGAATGAATAAAGAATGAATAAAGAATGAATAAAGAGTGAATAAAGAATGAGTAAAATGAATTTAAATATTAATATTTACCTTAATCTTCTACCTTTGCTAGCTTTTGTGTCAACTTTTTTTTTCTTTTGTTTTGTCTTTCTGATTGCTGCCCAACGAATCCCAAGAGCAATTGGGTCATCTATTATATATATATATTTATTATTATATATTTATTATTATATATTTATTATATATTTATTATTATATATTTATTATATATTTATTATTATATATTTATTATTATATATTTATTATTATATATTTATTGTATTTTATGATGTTTATTATTATATTAATTAAATAATTATTATAATTATTATATTTATATTTATATTTAATATGATGTGATTATTATGAATAATTTGATAATAATTACCAGTATCAATCATTCGACTTTCTATAAATTCACGTAATAATTGTTGATAAAAATCCGAATCATCAAATATTTCCTTATCATAATTGGATAAATGTTCGTCATGTTTCTTTACATCATCATCATCATTATCATCATCACCATCATCATCATTATTATTTTTATCACCTTTTTCTTCCTATAATTAATTACGTAATATAATATTATTAATTTATTATTCTATCTTAATTACGTAATATTACATGATATTTTTAATTTATAATTTACCTTTCCGAATATTTTATCCGAATTTCTTTTTAATTGTGTTCGCTTAATTAATCTTTCTCGATCATTTAAAAGTTGCTCAATTTGTGTATTGACACCTTGATTGATAGTTTTGAATTTTTTATTAAGTGGTATTCCGGATGTTATCTGAACTTTATTACTCCATTTTTCAATTGTTTGAGTTCGATATGGTAAAAAGAGATCATGTATTTCTTGCATATCTTTCCATAAATATTCCGTATATTTATCTTCATCTTTCTCTTCTTCCTCTTCTTCTAAATGCCATCGTTTACGATTATTAGCAACATTTTTATTAATTTTAATATCTTCATTTTCATTACATAAATCCTATTTATAAATATTTTATTAATTATTAATTAAAATATAAAATATATTTATTTTATTGAATACATAAATATATTTATTGCATTGAATACATAAATAAATGAAAATAAAACCTTTCTTAATTCTATAAGAGAATCCATTAGTTCTTTTAATTCATTCTTTGTCTCTTGTATATCCATTTTGAGATCTGGTTCGAGATATTTTGTATATACTGAGGGCTAAAAATATAAATTTCAAGATTATTTTATTTTTCATTTCATACAAAAATGAAGAAAAAATGAAGAAAAAAAAAATGAAGAAAAAAAAATGAAGAAAATACTTGAGGTATTCTATTTGCAATAGAGACAGCTTTCTGCAGACGAATTCGAGTGTCTAAGAATTTATCCCATAACCCCTAAAAAATTGAATTAAATTAGAATTTTAGATTATCAAAGTCATTATCAAAGTCATAAACAAAAGTCATAATAAATTTTCTTACAGTTTGAGTCTTGACGTGATGTCCTTTGTTGACATCCTCTTTAACACTTTGTGACATTTTTTTCAATAAATTCCTAGTAAAAAAAAAAAATAATAATAATCATAATAAGTATAATTTATAATTTTCGCATATCAATGGATATACATTTATATATATATATATATATATATATATATTTATATTTATTTACCTTTCTTCATTTTCAATTTTTCTCAATTCGTTTATAACAATTGAAGATTTATCAGATTTATCTAAAGATTTATCTAAAGATTTATTTAGAGATTCATCTAAAGATTTACGTGATGCTGAGTATACAGATGACTCTTCATCATCTGTATTCTCGAAATCATAAAATTCTTCAGATAATCCTTTGTCTTCTTCGAAATCAGTGAGTTCAGATAATTCTTCATTTATATCTAAGTAATCCTTTTGATAATTTTTATTATTTTTATCATTATCATCGCCATCATCATCATTATCAAAACTTGGTAATTCCATTTCGATATCATTTTCACGTTCATCATCATCACCTTTGTTTTCTTCATATTCATCAACCTTTAATTCAGAAAAATCTCCAAAAATATTTTTTCTACTACTTTGTTTACCAGCATATTTTGGATCATTTAAATTAAATTGTAAATTTTGACGTAATGAACTCTTCCTATAAAAAAAAAAAATTTGAATATAATATAATTTTAATTCATCTGGAAAGAATTTGGAATGAATGAATTTTTTTACAGGTTGTAATAATATTAATAATATTAATAATTGAATTATCCGGGAATGAACTTTACCCAACATTTTCATAATGTTCTCTTCCTAATGATTCTTTATCCAATTTCTCATTATTATCCTTTTTATCTTCATCTTCATTATCACTTTGATCAAATCCAAATTTATGGAAAGTTTCTCCAATTTCTTCAGGGTCAATATCTTTTACGTATAATATATATTATTATTATTATTATTATTGAGGAATTTATTGATATTATTATTTATTCCGTTACGTTACGTTACGTTACGTTACGTTACGTTAGAATAATGAAAGTCAATATACAATATACATAATACAAAATATATATACAATAGATATAATATAAATAATTAACCTATTGGAGCAGGATTTGATAATTCTGCAAGAGTTTCGAAGAGAGATTTGCTTTTTTTTTTCTCTAAAGAATTATTATTTTTTATTTAATAAATTTAAAATAACGAGAATAATAAGTTTAAGTAAAAATTTTACCCATTGATCTTCAATCCAATTTATCTGAATATTTTTTTTTGTATATATATACCCTTCAAAGATAATCTGATGATCTGATGATCTGATTTAATGTCACGTTACTCAAAATGAAATTTTTTCTTGGGAGAAGTAATAAAAATTTTGCAAAGGACACACATATATAAACGTTATCATTTCCTTAAACGTTCATAATTCATAAATCTGAAATTTGATTTATACAATATATCACAATCACATATCACTTTATCATAACTGAAGAATACTGAAGAATGAAGAATGAATAAAATAAATAATGAAATGTAATAATATCACATTTCAAGCAATTTATATTATTACAGTTTACAGTATCATTTTTTATTTTTTTTTCTTTTGTCAAAAATAGATTCTAAATAGATTTTAAATAGATTTAAAAAATCTATTAAATCCATTGAATAATGAATTATTTTTGATAAATGATGAAGCCTCAAAAGCAGGAAACATAATAAACAAATAAAATATCGCTAGCGTAAATTTGATTGACATAGCCCACAATGTTGATTACGAATCTGATTATGAACACCGATTATGAAGTGAAAATTATTATTTCGTGGCTTATACAATTTTTTTTTTTCATTTGTCAATTTCATTTAAGTAAGAGAAATTACACATATATAATAAATAAATTATGGCATGTGACTAAAAATCTCGGAAACATTAAAAAGTATTGATTGGTCAAAAGTCAATTAAAATTAAAGTTTAAAAAAGTCGGGATTATATAATTATGTTCTTTTTTTAGATTTCTTCAGATGATCATAAATAAAAAAAAAAATAAATTCTCACTGCTTGACTTACTTATCAAATGAAAATTTCGAATATTTCAGCTACGGAAATTTCAATATCAAAAGTAAAAGGGTTATCTTTTATTTTATATATATTCTTACACATTTATTAAATCTTTATATAAATGAAACATGAAATAATAATAAACATAATAAACAAATGAAATGTAATAATTATGCGCGAATTTTGTATTTTTATTAACATTATAAACAGTTCTTTGAAAGTTATTAGGTAATTAATATTATTTACAAGAAATCAATCCATCTAATCATATAATCATGAAGTTTATATCGATATAATAGTTGTTCAGGATGTTTATGACATTAAAAAAATTTTTGCAAATTTGTCAAATCTAAAAATAAATCTAAATCAAACCTTAACTACAACATATCTTACCACATCTTATACATGTATAAATTTCATATCTTTAAAATTTTGACAAGAAATAAAAAGGAATGAAAAATGACAATAAAAAAAAAAATAAAATCAAAAATCAAAAAAAAAAAACTTCAGATAATAAAAATAATATATATACACCACTTAAAATGTAAAAAATGTAAAAAATGTAAAAAATGTAAAAATGTAAAAATACATTAGAAATTAAAATATTTGTTGAAAGATTCTGTTGTTAGAAGGAATAGTAGGTTCAATAATTGGTCTAGATCCAGAATGAAAAATTGCGGATGAAATTGGTGGTAATCTTTCATTCATAAATGATCTTATTGGTGTATTATTATTATTATTATCATTGTCGACGTCTTTAGAAGAAATATTAGAAGTGTTTGTAGAAATAGTACATGATGATGATGATGATGATGATTGATGAGGAATATGTGGAGTATGATAAGGGTGAGAATAAAACTGTAATTGTGATGTTTCTTGATGATAATTCATGTTGGTGTTAGTGATCGTAGCGTTGGTAATTGTAGGGGAAGTCGATGAAAAATGAAGTTTTCGTGGAAATGAAATAGAATTAATAGAATTTAAAGTGGGAGAAGTGATAGTGTTTGTATTGTGACTGGGAAATGAATTTATTGGAGAGGAAGATGAAGAAGAAGACGAAGAAGAAAGTGAGGAAATAGGATTTCTGGGTGATGAATTATAACTTGAAGGAGATGGAGGCGTAGTATATTCCGATGTTGTCATTATTACTAAAGGTGATTCAAATTCTTCGAAATGTTGTTTTTGTTCATATTGATTATGATGATGTTGTTGTTGTTGTTGATGATGATGATGATGATGACGATAATGGTCAATATTGTCAATACTATAAGGATGATAATAAGGTGGAGTTAATGGACTAATGAGAAGTTTCTTGGTAATACGATGATTCTTTAAATTTGTTAATTGTTGTTGATGGTATTCGCTATGTATTTTATAATGCTTTTTTAGATCTTGTGGACGTTTAAATGCTTTCTTGCAAGTCTAAATAAATAAAAATAAAAGAGATTAGATGATATTTTAAATGAATAAAAAAATAAAATAAAAATAAATAAATATTTATTATTATTATTTACCTCACAGATGTGTGGCTTCAAAGGAACATGAACTCTAAGATGACTAGTAATATGATCTCTTTTTGTGGTTCTAACATCACAATCATCCCAATGACATTCTAAACACAAATTTCCTGTAGACTTTCTACCCACATGATCAACTGAGAGATGTGAATACAAAGATTCTGCGTCATCGAATTGCCGATTACATTTTTTCCAAAGGCAACTCAATATTTCGTCTTCATGATAGACGCTTCCTGTATCACTGTTGGATGTTGTTGATGGAGCTGGAGATAATGACATTTTTTTTTTTATGGAAATTGTTGAAATTTATTTTTCTTTAATTTTTTTTTGTATATTTGATTATGAATCAGGGAATTAAAGATGAATTAAAGATGAAATCAACTTTTAATCGCTACCGAAATGGAAAGAGATAAAATGAATAAAATATGTTAATTAAAATTGAATTCTTAAAAAATATCTGATTTAAACTATTTATCCTCTTTTTTTTTGCAGATAAATTTTCAAATGTTAATTTTTTTTTGTTTTGTGTTTGATAATAACAAAAAAAAATCCATAGCCCCTTTATATATTTTTTTATGCAATTATAATTTAAAAAAAAAAATGTGTGATTTTTAGGAATTTATGTGATTTATAATTAAATTTTCTTGGCGACGATCCTTAGCATACATGTTTATGCATATACGTATTAGGTATATTTAATAGGATATAAACAATAGATTTATATGTAATATATTATATTTATACCAAGAACAAGAAATTTCTTGGTGATATCTGAGTCAAAAAAATCTCCGAAACCGAAAATTTTCCATTTATTCTATTTACTCTTTAATCACATGATAAAATTTATTTATTATAATTCTTATTATTATTCTATCTATATATCTATATAAATAAATTACATACCATAAATGTTAGAAGTATAATTACACTATAAAGAAAGTTATGATCGATTAATGAAATTGTGACACAACACATAAATTCTTGTATTTCTAGGCATTTCTTGGAATAGTGGTGATGTATGCAAATTACTTTGGATTTTTATATCACACATCAATGTAAAAAAAAATTGTTTGACTCAGGAGTCGCCAAGAGTCATTATGATTGGAAATATTCCATATTTAGTAACATAAAAAAATATTTATATATATATTTTATAAATGCGCGTAAATTTAATCTACGAAATTAATGATACGAAGTTAACGTAATCGCGTGTCATTATTCAATTTATTCGCGAAGTATATTATGTTCTTGGAAGATTCATGTGAACATCCATAATTGTGTTACCTAACAATATAATTATAAATCGAGTACGTATGCATAAAATTTTTGCCAAGAAATATAACTGACTTTTTTCCAAACAAGGTTTCCATAGTGAGTATAGTATGTAAAGAAAAGTTCCAATCTCTTTTGAAATTGGTTTAGTGCATGTGATAATAAAATTAAGTAATTTTTCTCAGATTTGACAACAAATTCAAAATTGTCTAAAAATTCAAGGAGAGAAATAGATTAATTTACAAAAAAAAATAGGTGATATTTCTTTGCTAATATTGTATGTGACGTTTTTGTGAAAGCACGTGTATAATTGCAATCGGCATCGCACAAAAGGATAGATTTTTTCTTTTTTTATTGAATGCCGCGTACGATTAAATCTTATTTTGGGTTTATGATACTGTAAAATAGCCAAATAAATAAAGCAAAAATTTAAGAAAACTCTAAAGAGAAGCTAAGGAGATTATATTTGTTACTCAAAAATTTGGCACATCAATAATAAAAATTTAAATCTCAAATTTTTTTTATGATGTTCGCCAAGAAAAAAATGAATTACCAAATTAAATTTTATTGAATTTCTTGATTTCTTGGCTGAATCCCTATTTAAAATGAATTATATGAAAATTTGTTCAATTAAATGTGATTATATGACATATCATGTAAAAGTGAAATTATTTAATTGAATTGATTATAGTTTAAATTGATTTACAAATTTACAAGCATTAATTCTCAAGTCAAATGATTTCTGGAATAAGACGACTTATAAACAAATACAAATAAATTTTTAAATATAGTTTTTCTAGAATTCTCAAGATTAACCAAATTAACTAACATTATTCCACATTAATCCTTTTATGGCTTCAAAAAGAAATTTTTTTTACTCACAGCACTTCTGCAACATACTGCAAAACACAATACATTATTGTATATCACATCCCTATTAAGATCTTTCAACGATTTCGGTGTCACAAGAAAATTCATTATATTGGTTATTTCTCAATTTAGAATATAAAAATGAATAATTAAAAATTGGATTCATTCGGTGCGGTGAATTAACTTAAAAAAAAATAATAATAATAACCACCATGGTAAAAGGGAAAGATTGTTTATGAAACTTGAATAAATTGAGTAAAAATTTATGTCAAATATTTTTTGATCAGCGAAGGCCATTCTTAATAGAGTATTTCCGTCCTTCATGCAATGAACCAATGTAATTTATGCATGTAATATTTGCTCATCGAGAATTTAAGGGATTTTAAAACAAAGGGAAAACATAATGATTTAAAATAATGGACGAAACTTTTACTCTTCCTGAACCCGGAGAAGTTATTATTTATGATTTTCGCAAGATTTCTGATATCAATAATATAAATACTTTCAATACCACCACCAAAAACAACAATAACAATAATAATAATAATGTAAACGATTCAATTAGTTCAATAAAATGTCTTCAGTGGAATGTTGAACGTAATTATTGTGCATCCGAAATACTCTCAACTCTAGAAGAATTAGATCCAGATATTGCATTTATTCAAGAAATAGATATAAATTGTAAAAGATCAGGAGATAGAAATCATTTCAAAGAAATTGCTTCCAAATTAGGTTGGAAAGGTGGATTTGTATGTGAATTCATTGAATTAGAAAGTGAATTACGAACGGAAATGGATCAAGGTGGTGGTGTTCATGGTAATGCTATTTTTACTAAACATGATATATCATTTCGTGTGCTTGATCATGAACATCATCCTTTGGATTGGGAAAAAATGGGTGAGACATTATGTGAACCGAGAAAAGGAAGGTAATTATGTCTACCAAGATACCAATTTATTACAATTTATATTACAATTTATTATATTTATTATTTTATATTTTATTAATATTACCTATATTTAATTACAATTTATTATATTTTATTGTATTTCATTTTATTATATTAATATTTTATTATATTTATATTTTATTATATTTATTATATTATATTCTAGGAGATATACTTTAGTTGCGGAAGTTGTGATACCAAAAGAACCTCCAATTTTATGTTATTGCGTTCACTTAGAGGTAAAATTATTAGTTTTTTTTTTTTTTTTTTTTTTAAAAAAAAAAAGTTATTTAAAGTTAATTATATATTCTGATAATTTTTAGGTATTCTGCGGTATCATTGGAAGAATTATTCAATTTTCCGAAATATTAGAGGATTCCGTTAAACACATCAAAACTCATCCATATCAATTAATCTTTGGAGATTTAAATACTATGGGTCATTCAATTGCTCGATTTTCTCGTTTGTATTGTAATGATCGATATCGTTTTTTATCATTAGGTTTAACGGAATCTGAATGGTGGGATAATAATTTATTTGATTGGCATATTAACGATGGGGATATTAATCTAAAGTTACAATCAGGAGGATTTAAAGTATTGGAATCGTTATTCAAAAGAAGTAATCAAGACGATAATAATAATAATAATAATTTCCAAAATTATGATTTCGATGATATTCATTTATTTTCAGGTTTCACTTTTAAAGTTTTACGAGCATCTCGTAATCCAGGATTTTATGATCCTTGGTCACCTACAAAAGATATTACTTTTCATAATAAGAATTATTTAGGTTTATATTCCGCAAAACTTGATTGGACATTAATATGTAGATTTAATGTAATTAATAGATGGATTGGTAATAATGATTATTCTTCTTCTGATCATAAATATATGATGGTAGAATTAGAGTTTGATAAATTATCAGATTTATCTTTGAGAAATTATTGGGAGATAAAAAGAAATTTTTGGAAGAAAGAGTCAAATTTAGTTGATGATAAAAAAGGTAAAATAAGTTTAGAAGAAGTAAATAATGAAGTAAAGAATAATGAAATGAGTAATAGGTTAAAAATTATCGGAATTGGAATTACTATTGTTGTCATTACTTTTAAATTATTTCATAAATGATACATTATTCTTTCTTTCTTTCCATAATAAACAAATATTTTTAGTCAAATGACAGGTTGCCATCACTAGGAGTTGAGAGTGAGTCCGGAACCAATGGAATGAAATTCATTCAATTATCACATGATCGTTATCTTCAAACTTAGTGACAAGAATCGTTATCATTTAAATCATCACTATGCAATATAATGTGCCTGATCTGATTGTCAGATCAGAAAATTTCCGAGTTGAATTTATATACATCGGATCAGATTGAACATTACTTGCGTATAAATAAAAATAGTGATCTTTCTATTCAACGTTGCAACTGTGAAGACTCTGAGAATTCTTGATAGAGATCAAATTCTTCGTGTGATCATAGGTATAAGAGATAATTCTTGAACTATAATAACTTATTATAGTGAGTCGGTGCTAGTTTATCTTGAACTCTTTTGTATTTATATTTATATACATTAACCTAACCAAGAATTTTTTTATAAAAATTAAGCTGAAAAATTTATATTAAGTTTGGAGGATCTAGTTTCTTTTTTTATTTATTTATTACTTATTTCATGTCTTGACATAGCATGAGAAACAGAAATCTTGACAAACATGATAAACACAACTCTGATGCTTATAGAAAACTTGATAAACATGACTCTGGTGTTAAAGTATTACTCATTATTCAAATTTTTATATTAAATCTGGAGCTTGACATTTTTTGCAGTGTATATTTAAGGTTCATTACAAATTACATGTATCATGATGACGAATCAGATGCAATTGAAATTTATTTTCAGAAAGAATTCAATAAATTTGTGACGATGCTACTAGTTATCTTCTCATATGTTATAATTATATTGACAAAATAATGTTCAATTCTTATAGATTCACCATCAAGGATTATTAGAGCTCATAGTATTTATTCAATTCTTTAAAAGTGGGTCGATGTGTGATTCAACTCGCATAATCATTGTGTAATAGAATTTTGGTCGAAATCCATTACATATTTTTAAAAGACAAATCTTTATCATGCGAAACATCATGATTAAGGATGTAAAAGTCCTGGACCGGTCTGGTCCTGGTCCTGAACCACCTGGTCCTAGGTCTTTATATAGAAATTGCTAAAGCTCACCGGGGCAAAATTAAATTTACATGGGCAAAGTCAGGGTTAGGGGTTGATCAGGGAATTATGTAATTTTACCTGGTGGTGACAATCACCTCCGTTGAGCTTTAGCAATATCCTTTAATATTTCCATTCAAACTCGCCGGTTCTAAAGATAAGTATAATAATAAATTTTATCGACATTGTTATTATACCAGTGGTGTGTTATTATCAACCAATAAAAATTAAACGCATGATTAAATAATAGACACATGATGTGAAATTATTTCATGTGTGATAAATTTTGGTGACGAATAATATGTGACAAATATGCTTTTCACATTCCAAGTCTAGAATATCTAATAAAAATTGATATTCGAAGGGTGTGACACACGGTGATAAATACACTGCCCCTGAAAACCCTAACCACGCGTTATGGTGTTCAACAACACTGGTGCGATATAACGTTTTCGAATTTTATCATTATTTTACCACGGTATTAATTTAATTTTTTTAAAAAAAATACTTTTAATTTCATAGGAGTTTTTTTGAATGATATACTTGACTTTGATGATCACATGATATAAAAAACCAGGTCCTAACTGGTCTTGAATTCCAAGAACGGACCAGTTGGTCCAGGTCCTCAGGTCCGGACCAGAGGACCACCTCATCCTTATCTTAGATCAAAGTGTCAAATGTGATTATGAGATACTCATGTGTATTGAAAACACAGGGTAATGATAGCTAGACTCTGAGCAGGATGCCTAAAAGATTTATTAAAGTTTTATCATCAAGTCCTATGAGATATTCATGTCATTTGATTTTATAGTATATCTTTGGAATTTATTAAACATTCTTATATGTGAATATTCATCCCCATAAGTTGAAATATGTGACATAGTGACATTTCCACTTGTCCATTTATTGAAATATGCTAAATCGAACAGTTTGCGTTATACTCTTCTGGGGATAATTTAGTCATTTTGTTCACTTGCTGGATGTAAGATGTAATTTTGCCGGACTCCGGAAATAGATTTATGTATGATATTCTTTATTTAAATGGATACGAATTTTTTAGTTAAACATGTAAACAATTTCTTATATTATTTTCTTATCAACACTCATCACATCATTTCAATATTTACACTTTGTATTATAAAACCAGTTACTGATAGTATTGATCCAACCACACTTTCGTTTTCATCATCTTCGGTATTAATTTTATTGTTGTTGTTATTATTTCTAAAATTATTATTATTACTTACAATAATATCTCTTTGGTCAACTGTTAGTAATATATCATCATGGGTTACTGGTTGATATAAATTTTAATATTCAGATTGATTACTATTACTATTATTATTCTTCTATTGATTAACCAAGTATTATTACATGAATTATTTATTATCTGAAAATGAAATAATTCTATTTCTATTAACGAGGTAATAAAGAGACAAGATATTTTCATTTATACTATCATTATATTTTATTGAATTAAAATATATATATACCCATGATCGTAAAATAATTAATAATAATAAATATAAATAAAATGATTATTTATTATTATTTGTTATTAATCTTATTTTTGTTATTATTATAATAATATTATTATTAAATTAATTAAATAAATTGATAAATAATTAACAAATAATTAATAATAATCAATAATCAATAAAATGTTTTAAAAGACTCATCAACTAGATGTGCTTTCCAACTAACCTACATAATAATGTCAAATAGAATTCAATTTCCGTATTAGCATCTTTCATATTTGCCATTCTGTTGTACTTATTCGGGTGACTAAATTATTAAATCCGATTCGGATCTTTTAATTATCCATGCTGAAAATTTATTTTTTAATTAAATTCAATTAATTATTTTTAATTAATTAATTAATTGAATAAATTAGGAATAAAATTAGAAATAATAATGATACATTATATATCCATAATAACCATACCATAATAATGTACACTCCTCAAAAGTTTTTTTAATTTCCAAACATATAAAATTCATTAATTTTTTATAAACGTTATCACTATTGGCATAGATAAATGTAAATTCTTTTTATTATTTGTAATATTAAATAATTAATGTGATGATAATTAAATTAATGTAAAGTAATTAAGTATAATAATGTACCTTTTACTTATTGGGAAATTGCTTTAACAGTCTTTTTCAGTTGATCTAAGTTAACGAATCATTAGTTGTTGTTTCTTCAGGCCTTCTGTTGTAATTGTTGTAATTATTGTATTGTAATTGTAGTCGCGTTGTTGGAAGTTGTATTGTGGATTTGTATTTATGTTGTGATTGTGATGCAGTCATTGAAGAATCTCTAATTTTAATATTAGCCTTTTTTTTTCCTTTTCTTCCGAGAAACAATATATATAAATGTAATCGTCACTACGCTTAAATTAAATTATCAAAATTACGTAATTTTACATATATCTCTTCTAATTTTAAATTTACATGTTGTTGGTCATGTAAATCTTTATCGGGAAGTATAATAATCTGTACCAGTTGGACAAATGTACCATTCTCACTACTATTTAAAAATAAATAAAATTATAATACGGAATTAGGTCTACAGTCGATTCAATATCGTATCCAACGAAAACTCCGACATAATTCATATAACTCAATATAACTCAATTTTACTGTACCTTGAAATAATAAATTAATAAAATAATAAAATAATTCTATTCCACATTTTCATTTATTTGAAAAAAAAACGAAATCGTAAATATATGAAATATTTGAAATGAAAAATAAATTAGAGAAATTTTTTATAAAATATTTTTGGTGGTACATTACACAATAATATAGTATATTAACCTTTCAAATAGATGACGCGTTCTAAATTTAGGAATTTATTATAAATCAATACAGTATTTTAGATATTTTTTAAACGATACGATATTTCAAAATTATTATATTTTATAATTACGTGCGTAACATTCATTTTTTAAAATAATTTAAATAAATATGTTTTCGGGTTTTTGAATATTTAAAATATTTCCTATTAAATAAAATAATATTAAGATAATTGGATAGGTGAAGATGAAGATATATACTGTATATTTAATTATACCTTATTTCCTTCCCTCCTTCGGATGATTTCACATACCAACGTAATGCTTTCTTTTCATCTTTGGAAGTACCGATTCCATAGAAATAACAATTCGCAAGACTATACTATTTCCCTCTCCAGCTGACTTTATATACCATTGAAATGCTTTCTCATCTTCATTTGTAGTTCCAATACCAAGAAGATAACAATAACCAAGTTTATTCTGTCCATCGGTATTTCCTTCTTCGGCTGATTTCAAATACCAGTGAAATATTTTCTTCTCTTCTTTTCTTTTTTCAATTTCATTGTGCATACCAATTTCCTCCTTCAGATAATTTCAAGTACCATTGAAATGCTTTCTTTTCATCTTTTATGGTTCCAATCCCATGTTGATAGTAATATCCAAGTTTATACTGTCCATCACTATCTCCCCCTTCAGTTAATTTCATATATCAATGAAATGCTTTCTTTTCATCTTTTATGGTTCCTAATCCCTTTAAGATAACATACTCCAATATTGTGCTGTCCTTCATGAATTTCCCCCTTCAGCTGATTTCATGTACCACTGAAATACTTTCGTTTAATCTTTTGTGGTTCCAATGCCATTAAAATAACAATCTCCAAGATTATTCTGTCCCAAATGGTTTCCCCCTTCAGTTGATTTCATGTACCACCGAAATGCTTTCTTTTCATCTTTTATGTTTCCAATACCATTATGATAACAATCTCCAAGATTACACTGTCCATCATTATCTCCCCCTTCAGCTGATTTCATAAACCATTGAAATGCTTTTTCTTCATCTTTCGTGACTCTAATCTCATCCCGATAACATTTATCGAGCTTCCTTCCTTAGCAGAATTCAAATACTTTTGAAATTTTCGTTCTTCAAGATTTTCGATGACACTTGAGTATAATCGATCTAGCATTTTATACTTTTGTAGTCTCAAACCCTTATCCAATTTATATTCATGCTTTACTCAAATAAAAATATATAATTGAATTGATAATGCGTTTGTTTATTTGATTATATAAGTTTTTCGATCAGAATGTGATATTTAGTATTTAATAATTACAATATTCACGGATTTATTCTACTTGTATTTTATGAACGAAAAAGTAAATTTAAATATATGACGATTTTAATAAATTGTACTGAAAAACATAAAGGGTCTGAGTGAACATTGTCTTTATTGTCTTTATTGTCTTTCACCACAATTTCTTCTGGTTACACTAGCTTTATTTTATCGTGATTCGACAGTCAGATGTAGATCTGCGAATGTGATATATATGATTTTCGGTTTTCAAAACGAAAATTTATTGGGATCACTAATTTCACGAAATTCAATCTCCATTTCCATTTTTACAATTGGTGGCGTTAGTAGTGATATAAGTCAATCAAAAAAAATTGACTATGGTTATTCAATAATTTAATTCGACTTAAGTCGACTAGTCGATATAACAAAATACCACTAGGAGAGGTGGATCGAACATACCACTGGGGGAAGTAGAGTAAACGACTTAGAACACTAGGTGTTAGATTATTATCAAAAAAGTTGTGAACAAAAAGCCGTGACGACAAAAAAGTTGTAAGCGAAAAGTCCATGATGACAAAAGATCGTGGACGAAAAGTCCGCAAAGATGTTATTGTAATTGTTATTTATTATAAAAATATATAAAGAACAATAATTCAACTATTTGCCTATTTGATGGGATAATTCTCTTAGATCAAAAGAAATATTGTCATTGATGGATTCAAGTCAGCTATATTACTATGATTATTAATTAGTCGTTATTAAATAATTTATTAATAATTGATAATCTTAACTTATATAATAATTCTTCCATTATCCAGTTCACGACTAGAATAAATAATAAATAATATAATCGAGATTTAGATCCAATATTCACAACATAAATAATAAATAATAATAGTAGCAATAGTAATATTTTAAAACAATAATAAAGATCCACACTTTCTTAATAATTTATTATTTTCTAATTGTTGTTTGGGATTTGTTAATCTCCAGATTTTTCATAATTATTATTATTTAACTTTGAGCAATATCCTCACGGAAGAAAATCCTTCAGCAGAATCTTTTAATTTTAAATGAATCTAACAAAAATACTCTTTAGAAACACCCTTTTGCACCCTTGCATACAGTACGTCATACGTAATAATATACCCTTTTGATCAAGCCGTCACTTGCCTAAATTCTGCGGACAACTACTAAAATAACTCTATAATCATGCATAAGGTATAATCTGAAGGTACATGAGTAAGTGGAGTAAAAGTATCCTCTTATAGCTTACTATGCAAATTTTTGAATCTTAGCTTCAAACTTTATGCAGTAACTTTATTCACGAAATAAAACAGTTTATGAGAATTTATTACAAAATTGGTAATAGAGGTATTATGGACTGTTAACCGTTTCTCACCAACATTACTGTTATCACGAAGATAAAATTTATTATTAACAAGAGGATATTCTAACTACTTTCGAAATTATGATTATTATTATTATTACTTTTATTGTTATTAGTTTCTATAAATGTTCGTAAATCTCCAAAATTTACCAAAGAAAAATTATAAGTCTAAAAATTGCAGTAGAAACCCCTCCTCTTTTACACCCCAGATTACTGGCTATTTATATATATTTTGAGATTGTTTTCTTCTATCCTTTGTTGTCACGTTTAAACACGTTTTTCTCCTTTCTTCGAGGATGACGCACAAGGATAAAAGTTAATACACAAGGATGAATAATCTGTCTTCCTGAATGGTAGCACCTCATCCAGGTGTCACTGTCATCTTACTGTTGACTTCCGTATTATTTCGAAATTCTTGTGCAAAAATCTTTCAGTGGTACTTGATGTTAGACACTTAATTGCTGATCCACATGTGGTTAATAGATTTTATAGTAAATTTTGGCGTTTTTTTTATATATTTCAACTGCCAGTATCGAGCCAAAACTTCATTATGTTTACGTGACTGGATGATTTTTTTAAAGAAAAAATTAATCATATTATCAGCTATCTTCCTTTACGCTTAGGACTTTAAGTTATAATCCAACTTAAAATAGTTCATTTATTGTCCGTGTAGTTTGCAATTTTTACAACCAGGTTATATTGTGAAAGGAAATGAAAAGTAGTGGTATTAATACAATTTTTACTGCAGCTATTACCTCTGTTTATCAATTAGTTTTTAGTAGTAAAACGAAATGTGCAGGAATTTCTTACTTAGGTTTAGACCAACCTGAAACAGCTCAAAAGTTATTCATTGGTTGTCTTGGTAAAATTACAAAAAACACAAATCAAACTAGTTATAATTATCATAATTATTCTGCATCATTATTTCATAAGTATAGAAAAATATAATCTGTTTTTCATCAATATATTGGCAAAGATTTATTTTTAATTACAATTTATCAAAACAGTCAGATTGTTGCTGAATACAAAGATATTTCACTCAACGCTGTTTGGAATAAAACTGGAATTTTGACATTTATTTTGGGATACTTTATTTGCTATAAATCTCCCAGTAACTTTGGATATAATAAATCATGTACATCAAAAAATCTGCTAATTGCCTAAATGTACTTACAAATTGGAATAATAAAGTGATTATGGAAAAACTATATGAATTTCATTTAAAAGAAACATTAGAAGATCAATTGGCATCAAATATTTCAAAGTTGGATGTAACTAAAAAGTAATATAATTGAATTATATATTTACCTTAGTAATATATGATTTGAATTATGAATTTCTGGAAAGAGAATTATGAGTGTAGTATATGATGCTTTATGCTACAGAATGTACAAATATTATTCAGTACAATAAAGATGTTTTTTCATGTAAGTATAAATATATAATTGGTATTATTAAAAAAAAACTGTAAGCTAATATTATATATTTATTTGTGGTATGACATCTGATCCAAAAAAGATTATGAAACCATTGTCAAATTATATACCGATAGCCTTTTGAATATAACTTCATCTACTCTTATATTTTGAAATTGTTTTCATAACAGTTACAATGTAAATCCTAAAGGAATATGCGTTAAAACACGAATACCATCGATAATTGGAGAAGATTTTATGTATAAAGAATTAGTTGAAGATTTATAATACATATATATTATTTTATATTTCACCTAATAAGTTAATGTGACACGAAAATATTCTAGAATTAAAGTTATTGTTCATTCAAAAATGCCAGAAATTAAAGAAAGAGAATTTCAACTATTTTTTGCAGATAAACAAATGTAAATATGAGTTCTTACAAAATAGTTACAGTACTTTATTTGAAGGACCAAAAAAGTGCATTCACTCCGATCGAATGAAACATACTCCCACTTACGATCAAATATCGAGAAGATTGGGAGGATTATGTATAACATGCAACGATTATGGATATCAACCCTTCGAAAATTTGTTAGAATGAGTAACTATGAATTTTTCAAGTAAGATTCAAAAGGTTAATAATACTAATTGAATTTTATTATTATTTTATTATTCAATAATAATTATATTTACATTGAATTTCTTTTGAAAAAGATGATAAAACGGATCATGTGGATTGGAGAATGTGTACAAACATGATACAATGGTGTAAAAGGTAATTTCTGGTTTAGATTTATTATTATTGTATATAATAACGGAAGTAAAAAATAACAGTTAGTCCACATAATGAAAGATTTTTATTCAGAAATAATATGTAGAATATGTCTGATAAACACACAAACGATAGCAGTTTATACATCTTTTTTTAGATTATTTTAAACCACTGCGTCGTTGCATGTATTATATATGTATACTGTATTCATTTTAATTTAAAATATTAATGTTGAAAGAATTTATATATTTGTGGTGTGCTGGTCGAAGGAGAATAATACCTCAGGTTTAAATGGTATAAATCTTCACCTGTGGAATTTGCTCACCCCGTGACAAAAGTTAAAGTTAGAAGTTTTGCGAGCGTGCTTTAATTATATCACCTAAAATAATTTGTGAATCGATTTGAGTTACAATATGATACTTTTTTTTTTGTAGTTCAATTACTATTTTCAGAATGTAGTGAAAGAAAGGATATCGGGTTTTTATTTTGGGATAATGTACACATATTAAGACAACCATTTATATAGGTACTTTTATGCAATGGATATGAGAAAAAATTTATTTCCGTCAAAAATAAAAACTTGATGCTAAAATTTTGCAAGCTGGAATTCGCAAATTTTATCATTGTTTTTTTTTAAAAATTTCCATATCTATTATTTCATCATAATGATACGATCAAGTTTAAATTTGATGATTTTGCTAATAGCGTGGATAATTTTTTTTTTTAACGTTTTCGGTGTCTGGAATTTTTACATATAATGAAACGAATCCATTTAACACACCACCACTAATATGGCAATCTGGGAAATATTTCGATGGGTAGTGGTTATTCGAAGTATTAATAGCAATCTTAGTAGAACATCTTCTTCCAATGAAGTATGGGTAAAACAAGTGTTATCTTTACGCATTATTCATCCCAATGGAACGGTCAATGAAATAGACAAATACCTAGAGATTCAAGAATTTAACTGGCACATTACTAAAAGTTCAACTGGTAATGATTGGCTGGACCCTATAAGTATATGCGTTTTATTGGTTGTCGATCAATAATATATGATTGGTCAATATAATTATTATCACATGATCAATATTTAAAAAAATGAGCGAAGTTACAATAAAGATTAATATTTTTCACAATAAAACTTTAATAACTTTATAATTTAAATTCAAAATTAAAATTAAATACTTTCTCTTGTAATACTTATAATATCTTAAAAACTCAATCCATTTATTAATAATTTGAAATAAAAATACAAATAAATTCAAAAATCATTATTATTTAATTTATAAATATAATAACACCTTATGAATTTAAATAAGATTATAAATTTGCATAGATTATGATGTTTCATTTTTCCCTTTGATTGTAAATTATTAAATTAAAATAATTGAAACTAAATATTTAATTCTTGTATTTACAAATGAATATAAATCTATGCAAATGTGAAAAATATAAAATTTCTTCATTTTATTATATAAAATATATGTGGTGACTATAAAAACTTGAGAATAATTAAACCTTACTTGCAATGGTAATAGTTTTTATATAGTCTATATAGTCTATTGTTATAAAAATATGCTTCTAAGTAAACTCCTTGGTGAATCGGATCCAATTAGATCCAATTAGTTAAATATAAAAAACAAGCAAAAAATATAATTGCTAAGTTTCATTTAGTCAATCTGGTGACTTGTCATGGGAACGATCGTAAAATAGTTATGTAACATGTCGATCAAAATCTAGACTTTCCCTATGCTAAGGGCTGCTTCTTACTTTTTAGATATTTTAATGCTATGATATTACAACTTATGAAGAATGGGGACGTATTATTGATTGGCATGGTAATTTATATAGGTAAATATCTTCAATAATTTTATCATAATCATATCATATTACATATATTATCTTTAAACACAATGACAATTATTATTACTCGTATTCAAAAATATATTCTAACTATGAAGTGAAGTAAATTTCGGGGGAAAATGGTATATGGTACCCAAACGCAACGACATATGTTTGATATTATACAATTTTTTCAATTTTTATTATTATTATTATTTGTTTTTTAGAGATGATTCATTCAATCTTGAAGAGTTACAAGGAGGAAATATTACATTTCCCCAAAGTAGAACTTCTTCAGTATATAATACCATAGCTACTGTTGACGAGTGTTATAACATAATTACGGCCGAAAAATCTTTTGGTGTATACTTTCACAAAAGGATATAATGATAAACAATTTAGTACACCAAAACTGCTTTATCAATTACCCTCTGATATTACAATATCTAATATGTTTTGTAGTATTTCAAATATTGGAGTTGGACAAATTGTATCCTTGAAGTCATACAGAACAATGTCACTAGTTTTATGAAACTTGATTTCTTCTCATCTGACTCTGTTACAACCACATCAAGACCCTTATCCGAATTACCCTCAAATACTACTACAGGATGGTTAGTAGAAAGTATTCCTTATGGTGGTTATTTATTCTATGGTTATCTTCTGAACGAAACCAACCATACCAATGTTACGAATATTATTTTAATGAATTCGCCAATAAATTTATTAAATGGGAATTTTCTGAACCATCAATTATAAACCTGCAAGGAATTTTTTAATTCTGCCTAATAATACTATGTTAGTATCATCATAAATAGAGAATTTAAATACGTGAAGTTTTCTTACCATCAAGATTCCCTAACTACTCAGGAAGTTTGGATAAGGGTTATTCAAATCGTCTAGTAGATTCTACAAGTCCCTCTATTAATGCTAACATTTCAACTTTAATGGATATGGGTAATATTACAATCACATATTATAAATAATTATATTTGGATCAATCAAATTGATGAAAACGTTGCCAAAAACGTTACTTGACAATTTGTAATGGCAACAATAATGAATTAACTGTAACTGTAAAAATTATCAGAAGTACTTTAGTTATCCTAATAGAAATTTTTAACATATGGAATTCCAATACAAGTATGTAAATGATTATTTTATTAGATGTTGTTAATTTAAATACTAAATATTTTCTCTCTTTATATCCTGAAAGTTTTTAGATTCAAGTGAAGAAGCTTTTGCAGGTAAAATTTCAGTGCAATTGTAATTATATGCGTCGTTTAATATAAATTACTCAAAATGGATTGAAAATTTCTACAACAGGTTCAACATCTGGAGTGATGCGTTTAACAAAAGAAGGCACCTAACATTACTATGATCTTACTTCAACTGAGAAAGCTGATTTCTTTCATAATCTAATAATTTAATTATCTGAAATTCTTTCTATTGATCCTAGGCGACTAAGTTCAAATAAGAAAACCATCGCTATTAAACCTAATTCTCAAATATTCATTCAACTTAGAATTCAATCATCCAGAAGTGAAAGAAGTGTAAAATCTATTATAGAAGATTTAAATTATATGATTAAATATAAAAGTATAACTTCCATTAGTTTATTCCCTAACACGAATTATTTAGATGAAGAATTTGGATTTAAACAAAGTCGTGAGTATATATAGAATTTTAACTTATTTAACATGTTATCACTACTAATCACTCTTTCTTTTTCATTAGAAAACTTATGGGAAGAACGCAAGTTGGAATTGAGGTTGCTATATTAACACTTGGAATTTTAACGTTTCTTTTCTTATCAGCACGTACAAGAGAAAGAAAAGTAAAAAAAAAAGAACCTCTCATTTGTTAGAATATTATGGAAATTTGTGTGTATTGATATTATTTAAATTCTCTTAAAGGGTCGCAACATAGCTGTTTTACGTAACATAGCTGTTTTACAGTCTTCAAATTCTTCTTTATTAATATGAAAAAAATTATTGGTTTGTTTTGTTTCTTACTATAAAATTTTCAATATATTAGATATTATACCTAAAAAAAGAGTGGTTAGATATGATTCAATTGCTCTTTTTACACTTTTCTCTTCATTTCTTAACTTATTAATAAATATTGTTGGTAGATTATTTCAAATAATAGGTCTTTGTCAACATGTATACAATTATAAAAGGTGACAGAATCAAGATTATTTGGAGATCTTCAACCACCAGATACTATAGATAATTACGCTTCAGATGATTCAACATCACATTCAATGAATTCAAAGAAGAAAAAGAAAAAAATAGTAAAAAAAAATACAAAAAGAAGTCCAAAAGTTAACTTTCAAGAAATAAAACCTTGATAAAATATATTATCATTTACTCTACTAATATTGAGAGAAATAAAATATGTAAATATTTAATAAGGAAAGTTTATTATGTATAATTTTTCATTATTTAGATTTTAGTTTAGAAAAATTTTAATATTAAAATCTCGCATAATTTACTTATTATTAATTAGTGCGTAACAACGGGTTTGAGACTGTCTGATCTGTTGTACGGGTAGGCAATTCTTGAACTAAAATTTTTAAAATTATTGATTCCACTGAATGATCAGGAGCCTCTGGTTTATCTCGTTCGGTTTTCCTTATACTTTGTATATTATTAAATTTATTTAATATATTTTTATTAACATTTATTAAATTTATTTAATCAATTACCTACAGTTCCGGCAGAAAAAACTGACACTCAAACTATTGTGATTGCTGCGCCCAATTTTTATTTAAATTTTTTAAAAATTTTACATGTTATGTCTCATGATACATATTTTAATATAATTAAATTTTAATAATTTATTGTATGACCATTATTTTCTAATAATAATTTAATACGGCCCCACATAGATTTTGCTAATTTAAGACACAGGGATTTATCAATTGCATCCCATTCTTTTGATATCAACGACAAAAAAACATCTTGTGTGATATTTTTTTTTCGCTTATCATAATATTGATCTCCTTTTCGACTTTTCTTTTCATTATTGCCCACAAGTTTTCGATCGGATTGAGATCTGGCGAATAGGATGGCCAATCAAGAATTCGTGGACAATGTTCTTGAAGAAGAGCCTTTGTAAGCTTAGCTTTGTGTTGTCCTGCTGGAACGTCCATGCACTACCAAGGACCTGATGTGCTTGCTCGAATAAATTTTCTGTTAGTATCTTTCTATAAAGCTCGCCATTCATATTTTCAGTAAACATGCAAAAGCCGACAGTTCCTTTTGCACAAAATGCCCCCCATACATGAACCTTGAAAGGATGTTTTACAACTGGACGACTTGGAATTGATTCTCCATCCTTGTAACGAACCTGGATTGTATTACGAAACATTTGAAACGTTGATTCATCGGAAAAAATAACACTATTCCAATCTTTTCTTTGGTGGGCTTTTGCCCAAGCAATACGACGTTTAATGGCTTCTTCGGTGAGTAGGGGAACCGAACGAGGTATACCCAAGCTTTTGGAGATTATTTCTAACTGCCCTAGCTGCAATTTTGAGGCCAGGGTAGGTTTTTTGTAAGGTTTCCGCTAGTTCACTACTTGTTGCAAATTTTCGGGATTTTGCGATCCGACCAAGGTAGCGTCGTTGGGTAGGAGTAAGACGAGTTGGACGGCCGGAGCGACTTTTTTGTTTAAGGTCATTTGTTTCTTCAAGTTGTTTGACCCATCTATATAGTGTTTTTTTAGGAAAGCCAGTTATTTTTTGAAGAGACAAACTCCATTCTTCCACAAAGTCTTAATATGTTGGCGGCGTTCTTTGAGTGTGATCATGTGCGATGTTGGTGGCACCTAAGCCATTGTCTTTTTTATGTTTATGACATAAATAAACAATTCGTATCACATTTGGTGCTGGTGTAACAAAAAAAAATGCGCAGCAAACGAAAATCTCGGAAAAAAAGTGTCAGTTTTTTCTGCCGGAACTGTATACATCAAAGGACACGATGAATTCCAGATTCACATTTTAAAATCAATTATAAGCGTAACCACCTTTAATTCTTAATGTTATTGATTTACATCCTTACTTCTTCTTCATTAACATACATTAATTTCGTTCAACTTTTCATAAATTTTAAAATTCTATAATAATGTTTTTGAAATTTAGCAGTCTTTGATGAATCATTTCACGAATCTTCTGATCTTTATTAAAAAAATAAATTTAATAAATGCGATGCATTATAAAAATGCGGCATGAGATAAGTAGTGTCACGGTCTGTGCAGAACGATATGGAAAGTTACCTCACAACTCAATATCATTCTAATGATACTCTTTATTCCCGTGATGTAGTGGGAACAGGCAATCAGTCGATCTAAACCTGCTTACTAACGATCACAATAATGTAATTACGTGTAAAACCTGAAGGTACGATGAGCAAGTGGAGTAAAATATCTTTTACTGACTGCTTTGCACTCTACTGAAACTGGACAGACTTTTGATGTAACTTGCCAAGAAATAAAAGAAATAGATTATTAAATTTATTAAAGTTTAATATAGGAATATTACAATAGCGATATATTACTGCTTATAACTTTTGTTATTCCGCTACACTAAATTATTTATTATTCTTAAGATTATTACCAAAAAAAATAGAAGAAAATAAGAAATAAAATGTCCTATTTATTATTAAGGTCCAAAAGAAATCTCCCTTCTTCCCTTCCCACCCGCAATTATTTTTATGTCTTCTCTTTTATTACCTTCACCATCATCATCCATAAGCACGGGGATGAATAAAAATTTTCATGATATCGTTCACATAGCCATAGCTGATAGCAGACATTACACATTGCATTTGGCTAGATTAAGAAATTACATGAAATAGAAATGGGATTGTGAAGATTATGATGTTGTTGCTTTCAAGGAATTAAAGATTATAGATATGATATTTTTGATATTTTGAAATTTATTGAAGCGGTATGTTCATTTATACTTAGATTACCTATCAAAATTATAAACAATTATGAACTTTTATTGCTGAAAATATTTTATGTATAATTTGTTTATACATTATATTTCTGATTAAAAATATATCGATTAATAGTTTTTATTCTTCTTACACCATTAGATTTTTTGGAATTTCAAAAATCCTTCTACGCAAAATTACATTATTGTTATGAAATCACGAGATGACGCCATTATAGTTTTTTATCTGATCTCTTTCTAAAAGTTGGTTGGAAGTCAAAAATAGTGTTGCTACATAAATAATAGAAAATCTGAATATTTACATGAAAATAATATAGTTCATTGTAATTAGCAAAATCGTGACCCATATTAATTCGTTATAAGGTTTATGTAATTAGTTAATGATTTAATTTTAAACTCTGATAACAAAACAATAATGTCTACAGTTCAATCCCATATATTTCACCGGAGGTATTAAGAGTAAATGAATTTACAAAGGAGGGGGATATTTTATATAGCTTTGGTGGAATCATGTATGAAATGGCAACTGGAAATCAACTATTTGCTGTCCAAGCACACGATACCTATTTGATGATTGATATATGTAATGGTGTAAGACTAAATAAAGGTCCCTGAAATAATCAAATTTGATTCCAAAATGTCATCTAGACGTGATGTTTCAATGCTGGGATGATGATCCTTTTAAACGACCAACTGCTCTCGAATTAACTAGTGAATTATAAGAATAAGAATAAGAATAAATAATAAATCATTTAGATATACAGTAATTTATGTAACAAAAAAATTCCTAGAATAAATTACATTTATTTATTTATTATTAAAATAAGATACAATATTTTATTATAATCAAGTTAACTGAATGAACAAATATTATGTAAAATATAATTGTAATAATCATTTGTATAAAATTTATTTTTAATTAAAGATTTATTCGTGAATTTAAAAAGGACTAAAAAATCAATAATGGCTACCCAACAATTGAAATTTAGCTATTTATTATTTTTGTTATTTTTATTATGATTTTTATTTTTTATAGAGAAAATTATGATATAGAACAAAATGTTGAAATAATCAAGGATCTATATATTCTAGAATCTAAATGTCATAAAAAATAGAGAAGTACATCAAGATCTTGAACCCTATGATGAGCCAAAGAGGTATCTATATTTTGTTAATATTTTAAAAAACAATTAATTACAAACAAATGAGGAGTTTGACTCAAAAAAGTTAAGATAATAAGTGATCAGGACAATGGAATATTTTAAAAAATTCAGAATGAATGTTAACTATAGTTGTTTATTTATTTATTAAATCATCTTTTTTCAAATGTATAATATTTGGCTACTTTATTCATTATAAATATATACTAAATTAAGATTTTATATAATATTCATAATGAAATACGTGAGATGTGACATTTGTAAAATGAAATTATAAATTTAAATATGACAAGAATGACAGTATTTATTAATATTTAAATTATTCAGTGTATGCTTAATTTGATATTATAATCCTACTTTCACAAAGTTGTCAAAATAATTTAAAAATTCTAAAATTTGCATTGTATTATCTTAATCAATACACACAACACATAAATACACACAACACATAGAGCTTGACAATAAAATTACAAGCTGTCTTGGCAAGTGTCTTGAATAGTATCTTAGATTTGAGTTTAAATATAATAATGACTGTAGTATTAATAAAAGTCAAAACTTATAAACTTTATTGAAATATTTTATATTTAATAAATAATCCATTTGGTTTCATAATATAAATAAACTTTCAAATATCATATATTATAATTTGAATAATTTAAGGATCATTCCAATCAATATTGTTCGGATTGAAATTTGAATATTGAAATGAGGGTAAAGATGGTAAAGATTTGCTTGTGAGAGATGCCTCAGAATGAATAGGTTCATCTAATGATAATTCTGATGATTGAAAATCTTCCTTTTTCATTTCACGATCTGCATTTAAAAACATATGTGAATCTTTGGTTTGTTTATTATGTGCTAAATTAAATTGCCATTCTTCAGATAGATCATAAATGATTTTTGTACTTGGACGTTTGGATGGATCTTTGTGCCAACATTTTTTCATCAATTCCACATAACATTGAGGTGTACCTTTTTTAATTTTTGGTCGAAGTCCTTCAAGAATTTCTAAAGTTAACTCTAGATTATATGCTCTGTCAGAAAATGGTATTTTTCCTGTTGATATTACCCACATAATAATTCCAACACTATATATATCAGAAGCTTGAGTATATGGATTTGAATTTAGTAACTCAGGTGCAATATATGGTAATACACCATATCTCCCAGATGATTTAATTTCATCTACAGGTCTACAAAATCCTAAATCTCCTAATCTTACGAATTTTATATCATCATATGCTTCAGTGATCATTAGATTACCAGGATGAAGATCACAATGAATATGTCCTGAATAATGAATGACATGTAATCCTTGGATAAAAGAAATTAATAACCATAATCGTTCAAACCATGGTAATTTTTTATTTTGTTGAAGAAAATTTCTTAAATTTCCATTTTTCATATATCGTGAAACTATTACATGTTCCATTGTCATTGGATCTTGAGTTATGCCCAAAATTGGCAAAACATATTTGGAACGACATTGGAAATTTTCTAGTAACTGTATATTTATAAAAGATATAAAGTTTTAAGATGATTATATTTACTTGTATAATACAAAGCCAATTTTGGTATGTCAATACAGTATATATAATATTTACCTCACAAAAAAATTCAAGGTTGCTTTTTTTTGAATTTATAAGTTTTTTCAAAACAACTTGATTGCAATTGTAGATTTCAAATAACTCTTCAGGCATATCTATCCATTCTGCTTTCCGAATAGTGCCAAATCCTCCTTTATCTAAATATTCAATATCTTTTAATTCACTATAATCTATGCATCTCCAAATTTCCCATTCATTTGCATTTTCATTTAACTTTGTCAATTGAATAATTGTGTTAACGGCATCATTACCATTACTCCAAGATTCAATTTCAGTCGTATACTTATATATTACTTCTATATATTTACAATTTTTACATACATTTTTTCTTGTATTTAAATTTCCACAATTGTGACATCTACCAAAATCTTGAAAAAACTTTTTACAAATTTCAATGCAACCATTTGTCTGCCAACAAATACAACAGTTGTGATTTTTAATATTATCTTTAATACTGTTTAAATTTCTAGTAGGTGATTTAGAAAGCGTTAAACCAATATCCTTTCTATTAGTATTTTTTTTAAATTTCATTATTGTTGAGATTCCAAATTCATCTCTATAGCACACCTCAATTAATTTTTGGCAAGAATCATTTCCCCCTTCAGCTGATTTTAAGTACCACTGAACTCCTTTCTCTTCATCTTTTGTGGTTCCTATTCCAGTCAAATAACATTTCGCAAGAAGAATCTGTCCATTAATATTTCCGCTTTCAGCTGATTTCAAGTACCACTGAAATGCTTTCTCTTCATCTTTTGTGGTTCCAATTCCATTTTCATAACAATTTCCAAGAAGAAGCTGCCCATTAATATTTCCTCTTTCAGCTAATTTTAAGTACCACTGAAATGCTTTCTCTTCATCTTTTGTGGTTCCAATTCCATCTTTATAACAACGACCAATTATCAACAGTGCATTACTATTTCCTCCTTCAGCTGATTTCATGTACCACTGGAATGCTTTCTCTTCATCTTTTGTGGTCCCAGTTCCATTTTTATAATAATTTCCAAGATTAAACTGTCCATTACTGTTCCCTCCTTCGGCAGATTTCAAGGACCATTGAAATGCTTTCTTTTCATCTTTGTTAGTTCCAATCCCTTTTCCATAACAATAACCAAGATTACATTGTCCCATAATATTTCCACCTTCAGCTGCTTTCAAGTACCACTGAAATGCTTTCTCTTCATCTTTTGTGGTCCCAATTCCATTTGTATAGCAATATCCAAGATTATACTGTCCTTCACGATTCCCTCTTTCAGCTGATTTCAAGTACCACTGGAATGCTTTCTCTTCATCTTTTGTGGTTCCAATTCCAAAAAAATAACAATTTCCAAGATTATACTGTCCAAAACTATTTTCTCCTTCAGCTGATTTCAAGTGCCATTGAAATTCTTCCTCTTCATCTTTTGTGGTTCTTATTTCTTCATCCCAATTCCCTCCTTCAGCTGATTTTAAGTACCACTGAAATGCTTTGTCTTCATCTTTTGTGGTTCCAATTCCATCTTTATAACAACAACCAATTATCAACAGTGCATTACTATTTCCTCCTTCAGCTGATTTTAAGTACCACTGAAATGCTTTCTCTTCATCTTTTGTGGTTCCAATCCCATTTTTATAACAATTTCCAAGATTAAACTGTCCATTACTGTTCCCTCCTTCGGCAGATTTCAAGGACCATTGAAATGCTTTCTTCTCATCTTTGTTAGTTCCAATCCCTTTTCCATAACAATAACCAAGATTACATTGTCCCATAATATTTCCACCTTCAGCTGATTTCAAGTACCACTGAAATTCTTTCTCTACATCTTTTGTTGTTCCAATTCCATATCTATAGCAGTGTCCAAGATTATACTGTCCATCACAACTCCCTCCTTCAGCTGATTTCATGTACCACTGGAATGCTTTCTCTTCATCTTTTGTAGTTCCGATCCCATCTTTATAACAACAACCAATCATCGATTGTGCATTACTATTTCCTCCTTCAGCTGATTTTAAGTACCAATGAAATGCTTTCTTTTCATCTTTGGTTATTCCAATCCCATTCTGATAACAATTTCCAAGAAGAAGCTGCCCATTATTATTTCCTCCTTCAGCTGATTTCAAGTACCACTGAAATGCTTTCTTTTCATCTTTTGTTGTTCCAATCCCATTCTGATAACAAATTCCAAGATTGTTCAGTTCATCACAATCCCTTCCTTCAGCTGCTTTCAAGGACCATTGAAATGCTTTCTTTTCATCTTTTGTTGTTCCAATTCCAATTAAGTAACAATATCCAAGATTATACTGTCCATCACAATTCCCTTCTTCAGCTGATTTCAAGTACCACTGGAATGCTTTGTCTTCATCTTTTGTCGTTCCAATTCCAAAAAAATAACAATTTCCAAGTTTATACTGTCCACAACTATCTCCTCCTTCAGCTGATTTCAAGTACCACTGGAATGCTTTGCCTTCATCTTTTGTCGTTCCAATTCCAAAAAAATAACAATTTCCAAGTTTATACTGTCCAAAACTATTTCCTCCTTTAGCTGATTTCAAGTACCACTGGAATGCTTTCTCTTCATCTTTTGTTGTTCCAATTCCATCTTTATAACAACCACCAATTATCAATTGTGTAGCATTATTCCCTCCTTCAGCTGATTTCAAGCACCACTGAAATGCTTTTTCTTCATCTTTTGTTGTTCCAATTCCAAATTTATAACAATAACCAAGATTACTTTGTCCCGTAATATTTCCACCTTCAGCTGATTTCAAAAACCACTGGAATGCCTTCTCTTCATTTTTTGTTGTTCCGATTCCGTTCTGATAGCAATATCCAAGATTAAATTGTCCATCACTATTTCCTCCTTCAGCTGATTTTAAGTGCCACTGAAATGCTTTCTCTTCATCTATTGTTGTTCCGATTCCAAAAAAATAACAATATCCTATATTGTACTGTCCATTGCTATTTCCCCCTTCGGCTGATTTTAAGTACCATTGGAATGCTTTCTCTTCATCTTTTGTGGTTCCAATTCCATTCAGATAAGAAAATCCAAGATTAAACATTGCATTACTGTTTCCTTCTTCAGCTGATTTCAAGTACCATTGAAATGCTTTCTTTCTATCTTTTGTTGTTCCAATTCCATTTTTATAACAATTTCCAAGATTAAACTTTCCAACACTATTTCCCCCTTCAGCAGATTTCAAGGACCATTGAAATGCTTTCTTTTTATCTTTTGTTGTTCCAACTCCAAATCGATAAGAGTAACCAAGATTACACTGTCCATAACTATTTCCTCCTTCAGCTGATTTCAAGTACCATTGGAGTGCTTTCTTTTCGTCTTTTGTGGTTCCAATCCCATTTTTATAAGAATATCCAAGACTAAACTTCCCATAACTATTCCCTCCTTCAGCCGATTTCAAGTACCATTGGAATGCCTTCACTTCATCTTTTGTTGTTCCGATCCCATCTTTATAACAATAACCAATCTTCAATTGTGCATTACTATTCCCTGATTCGGCCAATTTCAAGTACCACTGAAATGCTTTTTCTTCATCTTTTGTTGTTACAATTCCAAAAAAATAATGATTTCCAAGAATAAACTGACCATTACTATTTTCTTCTTCCGCTGATTTCAAGTACCATTGAAATGTTTCCTTTTTATCTTTTGTGGTTCCACTTTCATTACAATATATATTTTCCATTTATGTGGAGAACAAAAGTTTTTAAAAAGAGTAAAATTTAAAATTTAAAATTTAATATATTTTATATATTATTTCGAGTAGATTTTAAATGTGATGGATTTACTATGCAAACCCAGATTATAAGAGAATCGTTAAGATTTATTCAAATGAGTAATTTATATATGTTTTAGGACATGTAATTATAAGTAATTTTTGAAGTTGAATCTTACATGCTAGTCGTTTATAAATAATAGTTAATGTCGATCATTATTTTCGCTTGAAAAATCTTATTTCTATAATTAGAATTTTTATATATTTTGTATAACCGATCTGTATTAATAGCGTTCTCTTTAGAAAAAGATGTTCACGTAACTGACGATCAACTATAAATAGGAAATCTTTTTAATCTTTTTGGAAATCCGAGTCTCGGAAGCAATTAATTTTAAAAATAAAAATACACAATCAATTCAATGGCTTTGATCGAATTCAAGGTATTCACTCGTGTGAAAATATTTTTATTTAATTCCACCAACATTTTCTCTTCCTATGATAATTCACCAATATATTTATTTATTTGGAGAATTTGTTGTAACATTTTAATACTGTATTTAATTAAAAATTATTTATTGAATTTTGTGTCAAGATAATTTTCGATTATCTGATCTGATTGGCTAATATTCCAATTATTGATTCAAGTAAAACATTTCATTTAATTTGTAGTGCGTTTGATGAATGTCAAGAAAAGCAATTAGTAAACCATTGTTGGTCCTAATTGAATAAATTATTTCTATTTTCATTTGTGTAATCTTGCGAATTAAATCATGATCAGAATTTTTAAAGCATCAAAAACAGAATTTTGGTATCACTTTACTCGTCCATTAACGCTACGCTCCGGACAATGATAATATTATGTATTGTGAATGATTATTTTCTAATTATTTTGATCATTGTTCTGTTTATTTTTTATTTTTCTTTAAAAGATCTGAATGCATAATTGCATTTTCCAATTATGTATTAAAAGTGGTATTGGAACATGATTAACGAGAAGTAGAGCTAAACATGGAATTCTAGTTAAGTTTCAATCCAACTTTATGTAAATTTTATTTTTATAAAATGAACACTATGCTAATCGTTACGTTTATTATTATTTATTTTTATACATCTTGTTGTTGGAAATATGGATTAAATATAATATGATTAGCATTCAAATGGTGTCCAAAATAATAAAAATTATACGTTTTTTTTAGTAATATAAATACTCATCGGCATAAAAAAATAAATTTTTATGTGGTAAAAAAAATATTATTAACATCTACTTGTCCAGTCCTAGTAGTGGTATTATTTTGAAGCTAAATACATATTCAAAGAAAAAAAAAATAGATAAAAAATAATTTTTATTTTCGTGCATATGATTTCACCACTAAATACAAAGTGAATTGGCATTTCATTTTCTCTGACTTCAGAGATAATATTTATAAAATAAATCGTTAAATGTTATTATTAATCAAATTTAGCCAGCTAAAATATTAAGTTATATTGTCTAAAAAGATTTTTATGTAAAAATAATTATACTGTATATCTATCGAATTATTTTTCACGTAAGTCTTACCAAACCAATAATATGGAATACAAAATAACATATGCTTATTGCTTCAATTGAAATTTTTATAATAAATAAATTTTCTGGCCAGAGTTAAGATTAATAAACTAGAAATTTGTAACGAGAATGTTCAAAATATCCTGTTTATTAATATTTCTCAAAAAAAAAATAAAAATAAAAATAAAAGAACAAATTCTAATTGGTCACTGGCATATACGACTAACCCTCTAAATGTATACTCCTTTTAATACAATTTGCTTAGTCCGGAAAGTATGCATTTAGAGTAACTTGACTGATTTCTCTCATTGAGGCGAACATTTTGGTAGTTGTTTCGTCAAATTTGGACTTCTCTACGCAAAGGCAATTTTCATAATTAAGTATTCATCAGTAGGTAATTTATTCAAAATTTGATTTTTTTTCGGCTATTACCGACTATTAATCTATACTGTGTAATATGATATATATAATATATTGTGTAATTTGTATAAGATATGGTTTTGATTTTTATATAAAACATACAAAGTTAAATAATTTTGTTTATTTACAAGTTCAAAAAGCATTAAATAAAATAATAATCATCACCTTCGAAATTTAAAATTTCATAATTTATTCGCATAGTTGTATTATGGGCTTATGTTTATCTTCTGAAGAAAAAAAAAGCGAGGTTACGGAATTACCAAATTGACCATCAGATCGAAGAAGACCGCAAAAGATTCAAGAAAGAATTTAAAGTTCTTCTGCTAGGTAGCTATTTACTGTATTTATTTCGTTTCTTTTGCAAACCTATTTGGAAATTTCCTCTGTAGGTTTTTTTTTGAAGATAAATTGTAACATTTAATTGCACATTATCATTTTGCAGGCCAGATGAATCTAAATCGACATTAGTCAGACAGATAAAAATAATAAATCAAACTAATCAAACTAAGGATGAGTTTGCACAGTATCGAATTAATGTATATGAAGACCTTGTTGACTCCGCACAAGTCATTGTTTACGCTATGAGAAAATTACGACTGGAACCCCGAAATTCAGTGAATTTAATAGGCAAATAATAAATTGATAAAGTGTGAATAAATTTTAATAAAAAAAAAATTTTACAGATCTTCTCCGAAAAGATTTTGGATTATTACGTCGAATCTGACCCATCTTTCCAATTAAGCTCAGAAATAGTAGAAGCTATTGATTCTGTGTGGCATGATCCAATAATATCAGAGGTTATGGAGAAACAAAATCATTTCTATTTAATGGAGTCAGCGCCTTAGTGAGTTTAAATATTTTATCATTGATTATGATAAATTAGTAGTATTAATTACTACATCATCATCAGTTTTCTTGCATCAGTAAGACGAATTGGGGCACCGGGATATTTTCCTGAGAAATCAGATGTTTTTCGAACAAGAACCAAAACCACGGATGTATCAGAAACAAGATTTAACATGAGACAACTAAGCATACAGTATGTTATAGCATCAACAGAAATTACAAAATTTAATCACATTCTGGTGATATTAAATTATATAAATATATATATCTGTCGGTATGATTAGTGTAGGTTGTCGATTCGAGAGAAAAAAGTGGATCCATCATTTTGAAGCCGTTACATCTATTATTTTTATTGTTCCGCTTAATGAATATGACCAAGTTTTTTTCGTAAGATTTGAGCCAGGTATTTTGGTAGAAGTTCTTTTTAAAATATAATGCTTTATAACACTTTACACTCTTCACAACTCTTTACAATAACAGACAAATTACTTTTATATTATTTATATATGCTTATAGAATAGATTGGCAGAAAGGTTGATTTTATTTGAATCAATAATCAATAGTCGATGGTTTTTACGAACCTCGATTATTTTACTCCTAACTAAAATTGATTTATTCCGAACAAAGTTACTTCGAGTACCTCTTGAACAATATTTTCCCGGTTATTCTGGTACATAATTTTAATATTTATAGATTCTTAATGTTTAATATTAATATAATTATAATTAATATTTGTTCTTAATGTTTAATATAATTAATGTGCAGGCGGATCAAACATCAACAAAGCTGCTAAATATATACTATGGAGGTTCACACAAACTAATCGGGCACAACTAAATATATTTCCTCAGTGAGTATTAATTTATCACGTTTTATGCAAAATCTTTACATATTTAATAAAAATTAATATTATATTATCATCATCAACCATTATATATAGTCTCGCACAAGAAACCGACACATCAAATGTAAGTATTCATTTTATCAAAATATACAGTTTATTATATATTTTATTATTGTTTGAACTTTATTCATTTACATGTAAACATATTTATTTGTTTATTATTTGTTTCTGATGATTTCACAAAGATTCGATCGGTTTTTCATTGAATTTCTTTTTTGCATAATTTTTTGGATAAATTTGTTGTATAAATTTTTTATTGATTTAAAATTCAAATTTGATTAATTTAGGTTAATTTTTGCTTCCATAAAGGAAACAATCTTTACAGAATTGCATCCGTGGTAGTAGTATCTTATGAAGATTTGATATTATTATTGTATTTTTTGTCTTGAATTTTATTTATCTTATTTATAATGTGAAAAATCAATGATCTTTGCATTTTATCATTTAGAAAGAATTGCAAAAAGATCTTTATTATTATTTTGGATTGGGTTTCTAAATTTTGTAAGGGTGAAAATTTGTAAGCTGAAATTTTGATTTGTAAATAATTACTACCTTTCAACTGTCAAAATTGTCAAAGCTATTATCGTGCCGAACAACATTCCATTCAACTTACCACTTAATGAAGAATTCCCATTTTTCCTATTTTGGCATGCCGATGCCAATTGAATCCTAATATTAGAGTAATAATATAATACAATGAACAGGATAACATTAATAATAATTTTTTTCAACATATATCATTCTGCAGTTCAATTATTATGGATATGGTAAAACTATTGTGCTAAATATAAGAATTGATCATTTATGTAAACAAGTTAAAAAAGAAAACGAAAACAAGTATTCAACTTTGAAATTTGATTTACCTTCTTCTTTAGCTGTATCAGCTTCGTCAAATTTAACTACTTCCGGAACTGCCACAACTAGAACAAGATTAGTTCTACCAATTCTACTGCTGGTCATAAGGAAAGAAATTTGAATAAAAAAGTAAACCATTATTATTAGAAAATTCTTGAAATTTTTATTTAATCATATCATTACCATCATTTTAACCATAATCATTTCGAGTTTCTCTTAATGAAATCACATATTTGTTTTAATAAATAATTATCATCATCATCTTAATTTCTAAGTCAAATGCCGAAGTCGCATCATGAATTCTTTTTTCCTTCTACACGATTTTACATTTTCAAAATGATCAATAATTACAATCAGTACAAAATGTAATTACTGTATTAAATAAAAAAATAATGATTAATGTTACTTTCGAATTTAGCTAAAAAAAATCCTTTTCCGGAATTGCTACTTCCAGTTCGAAAAAGTGAAAAGCAAGCAAGCGTGGGTAGGAAATTTATTCAAATAATAAGTTAAATTTTAAAGGTACAATAACCGAATATTAATTGTAGTAGGAATGTAGATATTATCGATATTAAAGCATCATAAATATTAATAACAATAACAATAGTAGCACAGGTCAAATACAAAAGAATTGCCGTACCGAAAAGGAATTCCGATTTTAGCTGATTTATAATATAGGATGCAATAGGACGGTCGATTTTTAGCTGATCTATAATGTAGGAATCACCAGCGATTCTTTTGTATTTGACTAGTGTAGTAGAATAACATAAATGTATCGAATAATCGATATACATATATATCTGATTATTACAATAACTGGTGATAAATAATAATAATAGATTATTTATTTATTTATTTAACCATTATTATTAAAAAATTTAATCATCATCAATTATCAACAGCGGCAACTGACATTGTTATTGATTAAACTTCATCCGTTTTCTTCATTTTCTTGAACTTCAAAAGTTGAATTTTTATGTGGGCATGATTATGACTATTTTAATAATAATCATTATTAATATTACTTGTAACTTTATCAATATACTACTCTATTACTACTTGTATTATTATAATTGATTGACTGACATTTAGGGTTCCGCAAAAAATATAATTTATCCGCGGATCATACTGTTACGGATCCGTATCGGATCTTAAGGTTCAATCCAACGGATCAGATCGAATCCAAAAAAATAAGGATTCGGATTGATCCGTTGAGGGGAGGAAAATATAAAATTTTTTTATGGATTCGGATTATATTCGGATTGTATTCGGATTTTAAAAGTCAGATCCGTATATGACGAATCCGGATCAGATCATCAGATCCAAATATAGATCCGATCCGACTTTGCGGAATCCTACACTATCTTCAATTTTCTAAAGTTTGAAGCATTTTGAGAGTTACGTGTTATTAATACTAATGATATTATTATGTAGTTGATGATTTATCCTTAGTATATATATTATTACCGTTTATGTAAATCTCTATTAGATATTTAAATAGCCTATTATTGCATAGTGTTGTTTCATTATACAAAAAATATCATCTCAATAAATTACTAATCTATTTCTAGTATTAAGATAACATTCCCTGAGCTGTATTAAGTATGATTACATAACAACAAATCGATTGAAAAGATGGTTTCTTTAAATCTTATTGGCCAATAGTGAGAATTCTAATCCATAAAAACTTTTTTCTTATAACGGCTATGCCTTAATGCTTTTATTTTTGCAATAAAACTAAATATCACCACGCGCGGTTGCACTAAACCATTTATCCCTCTAATTTATTACCACAGCTGCCGATTTCACCACAACCACCGATTTTACTATCATAACTTCCACCATCATCTCCATTCTCACAAAGAGGACCAAACCATTATCTGCAATCTTGATAAAAATGACTGTTATTTCAAGAATGAATACACCAAGATCGCCTTTTGTAAACAATCTGTTTTGACAATATCACCAGTTATTTTGACTTTTGCTTCGATCACTACCTCGATCACTACTCCGACCTCTACTTCAACCTTCATCACCACCCGATTCGCAGCTACGAAGCCTGGTGTGCTGAGCAAAGGTTCTCAGAAATAATAATGATGAAATTGTAATAATAAAATAAAAACAATAAAAATAAATAAATATAAAATGCCGAACGTCATTGAATATTAAAGCGAATGATAATAATGAATTATTTCTTTATTAATATAAACAACATTTTCTTTATATTTATTAAAAAAATATGAATTTATTTTATATTTGCAAATAAATGTATATTTAGAGCCTTCTATCATGAATAGATTATAAACTTTTATAAATTGAGTGTGTAATGACTTTTTATACCTATTTTTTTTATAGTAAAAATAGTAAAAGAAAAAAGAATGAATGAAATAATGTCATTGCTATTTGTTAATGATTATTATTATAATAAAATAATAATTAATATAATATAATTCTTTTCTCTTCAGTAAAATCTGAACTTGTTACTTTCGATAATTATTAACATTAAGTAATTCTATTTGCCACGGAGATCACATTTTCACCAGTTGACTTCATTTTTAAAGATGGTAATAATGAAATAAATTTAAACAAGTTATAACTGGGAAAAAAATAGTAGAAAGGGACTTTAAATTCGGAAAGTGCAACAAAGAGAATAGGGGCGTCCCGAGAAAATTGAGAACCAATTTTTTTGTTGTGTCATAACATAAAGATCTTAACAGTACACGATAATCGAGTAATAATTGGGATCTACTTTTCTTCGGAAACAAATCATATTTATGTTAATGTTAAACTGAAAGCTATAATGCACTATGATAGCCACCTGATATTAAAGATTTAGTTATCTTTATCGTAATCATTGTAATATGTTCAGATAATTACGTAGAAATTACAAGTATCCGATATATACATAAATATTTTATATAATTTATATAACTTGTATTAATTATTAAATTCCAGAGCAATTAATAGTATAATAACTTAAAGTTTCAAAAAAGGAAGATATAAAGTCCATTTCTAAATAGAGATAATTGATACTTTAAATTTATTTAATTATACTAAATAAATATAAAAAAAGATAATCGATTATTATCTAAGGAATGAACTTCTAACTAATTTTTTTAGTAACCTTAAATACTTAATCATTCTGTGGTAATTCTTATAGTTTTTTCATAATGATCGTAATTATTGTTATTATCTAACGTAAAATTAAGGTTAGGACTATACATACCAAGATCAGATCCAAAACATGGACCATAAGCTACTTGTCAAGCATTCCAAATTACATTACCAAGAATTTTTATTCTTCTAAGAATTGAATTTTGTATATTGACGTTTTTCAATGAGAAAATAAAGCTATACTTAGTTTTTCCTAATTAGCATCCCAAATTAAAGGATTATAACCTCCACGGGTATCTTCTGTTCCTTTAACTTTCATGATCACTACATGATCATGGCAAATATCTCAAAACGTTTGAGAATTAAACCCATTTATGCTTCCTCTTAAAATTAATTGAAATTCATATGGAGTGTTTGTTAAAGAAAAGAACAAGCTCTTGATTTATGATCAATCCTTTTGGTTACGTGTAATAATAGTTTTGTTTGTCCGTGCCGTAATTCTTGAACCAAAATTGTTGTTGGTGGTAGAATAATTGATTCCACTGGTTGCTCTGAGGCTATGAAATACTGAGTCGAGTCAAATCTTCCCAAAGTTTTTCATCGAGAATTACTTGTAAGGCTTTATTTTTTCAAAGCATCAGCACCAGGAATATGAAATCATCTTATTAGAGGTAGGCATTGTTGAAGAGTAGTTTTTAAAGTTCTAAAGTTTTATCTAGTCCATTCTTTAAGGTCCACAGGTAAAGTGGAATTCTGAGCAATTCCTCACTTTATAATATATTCGCAAATTATCACCTCTTCTAGTTGTAAATCATCTCGCTTGAAGAGGAGACTTTAGCATGTGAAACAACTGAGGTTCCAAAATATATATTTGATTCAATGGAAAGGAAATTTGAGATATTTGAACCAAATGATACACTCCAAATATCCGACCCATTATTAATTATAATTTGGGGTTTATTGAATTGAATGTGGTTGAATGAATCATTAATGTTAATATCAGCTTTATTCTTTAAAAAATTTCCCAGGTCCTCGTTTGTTAAAAAGAAAGATTTACAGATGTTGTCGTTAACGAATTCCTCAGATGACGAGTTCACTTCAATAGTTGATGGTATTTCAGTTATTTTGTGTATTTAATGCTGTGCGTCACTACCATAATTGTTCTGAGAAACAGATTCTAGTTTGTTTTCATTTGATTCATTCTTTAATAATTTGCTGTTTGGTTTCTTTTTACATTTGGAAAAGTAACTTTTAACACAAAAACTGCTTCATCGATGAATGTAATTTTATCAAAAAATTCGAATTTGGAATTCAAATTTTAAAATCAATCATAAGTATAATCATTTTAATTCTTAATATTATTGATTTACTTCTTTATTAATATAATCTAATTCTTGTTACTTTGAAACTGATGAAAAATAAATTAAAATTAAAATTAGCGTTAAATAAAATACAATAAATTATTAAAACTATTCTAAATTTCATATAACTTTCCTGCTCAATCACTGCAGTCAATTCCCTAAAGAACTTGAATAATGCATTTACAACATTCTTTAAATAAGTTAATAAGTTAAATTAATTTGTTTAATATATAAAGTAAAATTAATTACAACATTAAATAAATCCCACGTCTAAATTTACTTTTTATATTTTGTACCGCATATTTATTACTTTTTATATATTTTTGTACCACAATTGCATACATTACACAATATTTTTATTTATTTTTTGTACCACATATTTATTTATAACATTGGTCATGTTGATCATTTGGTTTTTATTGACATCATGACTTGTTATTATAATGAGTACTAAAGAAAAAGAAAATTTTATCGAAAAATTTGAAACTTGGTCTAGCGGGGATGATTGTATTGATACGATTATCCAAGAATCTCAGATATATAATTATGAATTTAATCTACAATGGATACCTTATGAAAATTTTTATGATACCAAACAAATAGCTGATAATGAATATTACACATTGCATTTGTCTAAATTAAGAAAACACACAGTAGTCAAATGGGATCGTGAAGATTGCGGTGTTGTTGCTTTGAAGGAATTAAAAGATTATGGATATGATATTTTTAAATTTATTGAAGCGGTATGTCTAAATTATAAACAATTATGAACTTTTATTGCTTATAAATATTTGATGTATTATTTGTTTACACACTTTTTTATTTCAGATTAGGAATATAGCAATTGATGGTTATTATTCTTCTTGTATCACTAGATTTTTTGGAGTTTCAAAAAATCCTTCTACGCAGAACTACATTATTGTTATGGAATCACAAGATTACGCTATTCATAGTTTTTTATCCGATCACTTTCTAAAAATTTGGTGGGGGTCAAAAACAGTGTTACTACGTCAAATAATAGAAAATCTTAATACTTTACATGAGAATAATATAGTTCATTGTGATTTACATAGTAGAAATATTTTAATGAAAAATTGTGAGCTATATTCATTAAATGTAATAATAGATCCTGGTTTATGTAAATTAGTTAATAATTTAATTTTTAACTCTGATAACAAAAACAATAATGTTTATGGTTCAATTCCATATATTCCACCTGAGGTATTAAGAGGAAATGAATTTACAAAGGAAGGAGATATTTATAGCTTTGGTGGAATCATGTATGAAATGGCAACTGGAAACCAACCATTTGCTGACCAAGCACATGATACCTATTTAATGATTGATATATGTAATGGTGTAAGACCAAAGGTTCCTGATATGTTGTTAAATTTGATTCCAAAATGTTATCTAGACGTAATGTATCAATGCTGGGAAGATGATCCTTCCAAACGACCAACTGCTCACGAATTATCTGATATAATATTTTTATGGGACTCCAGCATTTATGAAGAATTTGAAGATGCTGATGATAATAGAGAAATAATGAGTGAACAAAAATTACTTCGATCTTTATATAATTTTCACCCTCAGTCCTGTTATATTAGTAGACACATTTATACTCTTTATGGATTGCAAGATTCATTAGAAGATATAAAATCTGGAAAATGTGCAGGTATTATTATTTTATTATAATTTAAATCGTATTACTTTAATAAATAATTAATCACTAATCTTTACATTCAGATCCTAATTTATATACTCACGATATGGATTCTAAGAAATCGTCAAAATGTATTGATTTGGAAACATAAATTTAAAAAGCAAATGTGATATTTCAACTTTAAATTACGATTCCCAAGAATACAATATTTTTGATAAAGAATCAACAAAGGCTAAATGATACACGCATTTAAAGAAAGAACTTCTCTGTTTTCATTCAATATATTTTAATTTCTTTTTTTTTTTTTTGAGTATAAATTTATTTTATTTTTATTTTTATTATTATTATTATTTTTATTTTTACTTTTATTTTATTTTTATTTTTTATTTTTGTTTTTATTTTTATTTATTATTTATTGTATATTTAGAAATTAAAATAAATGAAAATACAGAAAATATGAGTTATTTAATTTTTTCTATTTTTTTCATTCAATTTTAGTGATACTTCAAAATTTTCAGGAGTTCATTTTTGTTAATTAAATTCATTTGATCTTAAAGAAAAAATAATATAAAAAAAAAAAATCTTTCAGTGAAATTATTCATCATAGTTTAATTTGCATGACGTATATTATTTCTTGTAACAAACAAAGAATAATTAAATAAAAAGATAATATCATTAATTTTTTCATCAATACAATTTATTCGGATATATTTATATTCTCAATAATAATTAAGATATAAAGCACTTGATTATATGGCAAAAAAATTATTTTTGTATTTTATATTTATTTTGTTTTTTTATTTTATTTTATTTTATTTGTTTATTATAGATATTTCTTTAAAAGGCCATCTCATTCCATTCAATCTTTTATTTTTTTTAAATTGTCATTGATATTAGATGGAATCAAGAAATGAGTTCTTTAGAAGAGTTTGTATTTTGAAAAAATCGTGTATTTACATTATTTATATGAATTTTGGTAATACTTGAAATACAATTTTATCAATTTTTTAATAACAGATTTTCACTATTTTCTTAGCTGGATCCAAATATTATATTACTATTATCCAGTTTTTTTTTCATTTTTTTCCCTTCTGTTTATTTTAATTATTTTCAATACCATTTTTTCCCATTTTAAAAATCTATCTATTCTTTCTTTCCAGTGGTGATGGGATCCGTTTAAAACCTATTCGGATAGGTACTTTGGTATATGGATGATTTTTTTCTGGATAAACAGATATCCTCGGATATCCGTTCAATGATTGTTACATATTAAACTTTTATTTTAATAAGTAAATGTCAAAAAATAGTACTAATTAACCTTTAAGATATGAATAATTTGCGTATCATATTAAAAGGATGAATCCATATCATCAAAATTGAGAGAACTATTAGCAGTTAATGTTCGAACGGGTGAAAAATTTAAAATGACAATTAGTCTCTCAATTTTGATGATATAGGTCTGTACTTCTTACAGAAGATACAATTAATTTTTATCTTTGAGATTACTTAGTACCGTTTTGATATTCACTTATTCTTTTTTTGTTTAACCATCGTGGCTTTGATATTCACTTATATGTATATATATTTTTAACCATTACGATTTTGATATTCACTTATAATATATATGTGGCACCAATTGACGATTTTGTGATAATTATAAACTTTTTATATAATAAGTGAATGACATAAACGGTACAAAGACAAGAATGAATTGCGTATTATGCTTAAAGGATGGACATGTATGATTAAAAATTGAGCTAACAAATATCATTTTAATTTTTTTCGTACGTTCAAAATTTAACCATCAATAATTCTCTCAATTTTAATGATACAGGTCTGTTCTTTCAGTATAATATGTAATTCATTCTTATCTTTAATATTATTTAGCATCATTTTTGATATTCACTTAATAAAATAAAAAATTTAATATATGGGGACAATTGATAATTATTCCCAATTCTTATATTGTTATAAAAAATTAATATTAAATATCGCGAATACATATACGGATAAGTATGGATAACCACTGGTAATCACGAATAAATACGGATAAGGGTGGATAAGTACAGAAATCCGTATCCGTAATAAAGCTCGCGGATACCCCGTTCATGGAAAAACGGATATCCGGATCGCACCACTGCTTCCCAATAGTCCTCAATGAATCTGGAAATTCAACATACTTATCAAAATGACGATAGAAGTGTCTCCTATTAATGTCTTTTGACCTTGATTAGGTCTCTGGTTACAAGTCCCCTTATAAAATTTTCGAATGAGAAGCTTCTTTCTTTATATTTCCCATTTTCAATCTCAATGATATTAACTTTAAGAATGTCTATTTTATCAATGATTTCAACCATTTTGATCATAGTTTTGCTTTCTTCCCCGCTATTTATTTCTGATCATAGAATTTTTATAAAGGCTTCTTGTAAGATTTGTTTTTTCCCATACATATAATCGTATATTCTGTTTTTTTTACAACTTATACATATTTCTTCTTTATACCATCTGAAATATTTAACACGAAAAAGAAAAAGAAAAAAAGGTGATTGGCAAATGCCTTTATCACATGATGATTATGCTATATACTTATTTCCGTTACATTAATTATCATGAAATAGTTACACACTGAATCATAAAATGTGACACGATTATTTTTTCAAAATTTCGGATTAAATTCTCTTTCTTAAAATTTCTATCTCTTAGATAAAGATGGCAACTAAAATTTCCACAGAAATATTAATTATGATTTTAAGAAATGTTCAATCATCTCGTTCAACTCAAGATTTATATTCATCATTATTAGTCAATCGAATCTGGTGTAAAGTTACTATACCTATACTTTGGGAATTAACTTTTGGTCAAGAATATTTTAGTAATGAGGTGAAAAAGAAATCATTATATATTCGAACTTATATTTCATGCATGGATATTCAAGCTAGAACTTTACTTACTCAAAATGAATTTGATCTATCATCATCACCACCTCAAGCCACTTTTGATTATCCATCATTCACTCATAAATTTGTAATTAATGATTTAGATAATTTTGTTTCCACATATTCACGACAAATTATTGGTTCGGATCAAGATAATAGCAATAAAGATGATGGCGATAATGTTTTCTCTAAATCGAGAATATTATTTCATGAGATGTGTAAATTAATAATAAATCGTTGCACATTTTTGGATTATTTTAAAGTGGGATTTCCCAAAAAATTTTCTAGAAATTATGGTGATTTAATTGGTTCAATTCTCGATTTACCTGATGCCCCAAAAGTATATAAAAAATTAAAAAGTTTTACTTCGCTAATAGAATATCATCAATCGTTTATATCATTAGCATTAATTTGTGATAATATTTTAAATATGGATTTTACATTTAATTCAGATTCACATGATCAAATGCCATTTTTCGCAAAATTTATTAGTGTTCAAAAAACGTTTAGAAAATCTATCAATTGAAGCTCGTCATATAGATTGTGATTCATTATTAGTATGGGCTATCATTAGTCAAAAAGAAACATTAAAGAGTCTTCATTTTTAATATCAGTAAGTTTTTATCATTTCGAAGGGAAATTATCACCAATCGGACAATTTACTTCACTTCAAAAACTTTATATTAAGTATTTTTGTGGATTGGATAGATCAAATTGTTTATCTTTGGCTTCATCATTTACTCAATTAAGTAGTTTTCATTATTTTCAATCGAGTCATGGGTCTCAAGAATTTATTATAAAAATTCTCGAAATAGCCAATACAAATTTAAGAAATATTTATCTACATCCATATCTGGCAATTACATTTGATATTTTTTTCGACAATTTTGAATTATTGTACAAAGATTACGAAATTAAATTTATATAATTTAAGTCCTGAACAAGTAATAGCAATATTTAATAATAATTTTAATGAATTAAAAAAATTTTCATTTGATTGTGGAGAGGAAGGATTTGATGCTAATGGATTATTATGTTAAATGGCCGAGAATATACCAGAATCACTTGAAACTATTAAAATTATAATGTTTTGTCAATGGATATTCAGTGCTGACAATTTAAGAAAATTTATTGAAGGGTGTGGTCGTAAAATAGGGGGAAATAAAAAGATTATTGTAAAACGTACAGAACAAGAGCGACTATTTACATTAAGTAATGAGTATTTTAAAGTTATTGAAGAATGCGGAGTATATGGAGTTCAAATAATAAATAATATTTCAAATAACATTTTACTTATTTATTTATTTATTATAATATTGAGTTATAGAATTTTATTTTTGTTAAGAAGATTGGAAATATTAAAATATTATGTATATGTAATAAGTAACATTTATTATTTTATCGTTTAATTTTTAAAAATTATTAAAATAGCATATTGATTTTTAAATTAAAATTAAATCTACAATAGTTAATTATTGATTAAAATAATAGTTTAGCCATTTACTTTAAAATATTAATAATTATTTTAATAGTTAAGTAATATTTAGAGTGATCATCTGAAACAACAGAAACATAAAACAGAAAGATCTAATCATGGAATAATATGACATATACCTATTTAAATTAATTTTAATTAATATTAAATCATGGAATTGCAAGTTGAAATAGAATTCTTGTTTTTTTAAAAAAAAATAAATGCATATCATGATATGAGCGCATGGAATAAATAATTGATGTATTGTTTGCTAGTGAAAAAATATAAAAGTTACATAAAACTTTGTTTTAAAGTACTTCAGTGAAGTGTTTGTTGCTCTTTGTAATTTAGTTTTGATTATCACCATGATTTAATTGATTAGATAAATAAATAAAATATAAACAAAGATATCTTCATATTCTCTAATTGTTATTTTCTTTCTTTTTTTTTCTTACCTGTTTGCCTCTTCTTAATAATTTAAGTCTAAAAATATTAATGATCAACAATTGAGAAATTATCTGTTATTCTTATAGATTTTTCATAATGACCATGATTATTATTACAAATACAACTAATCATCCAAAGTAAATTAGAACCGGAATTATAAATAAAAAGATCATACCCAAAATATAGACCACAATTTACTTGACCACTTTTATTGCTATTCAAAATTGATGTTCCCGAATTTTTTATTCTGCTAAATATTGAATCCAATGCATCACCATTTAAAATGAGAAAATAAAGCTATCATCAGTTTTTTTTCCACTCACCATAACCAGTATTTATAATCCAAGCTAAAGGATTGCATCCTTCGAGGGTTTCATCTAATCACTACAGTATTAGCATGACCGTGACATGTATCCCGAAAGGTGCAATTCTATTTAAAATTAACTAAATTCTTATGGAAAGTTAAAGAATAAGTTCTTGATTTCCAATCAATCCAATAAGAATTTCTAAACACGTTCATAAGTAATAATGGTTTCGTTTGCTCTGTTGTATGGTAAGCAATTCTTGAACAGAAATTTTTTCTTGGTGGTAAATTATTGATTTCGTTAATCCATAAAACGCTGATTAAAATCTACTAAAGTTGTTTATCTCGTGATATTTTACTTATATATTTCTATTAGTATATTTATTTAATATATTTTTATTAGCATTTTATTAAATTTACTTGTGCATCAACGAATTCCAGATTCAAATTTTAAAATTAATCATAAGTGTAATCACTTTTTAACTCTTAATATTGTTGATTTAAATCCTTATTTCTTTTTCATCAATAATCTAATTCCTGCAACGTTGAAATTGATAAAAAATAAATTAAAATTAAAATAAAATACAATAATATAAATCATTAAAACTATTCTTGATACCACAAATTTCATATAACTTTTCTGTCCAATCAATGCAGTCAAGTCCCTCCAGAACTTGAATAATGCATCTACATCATTCTTTACAAAGTTAAAAGTTGAAAGTTAAATTAATTTGTACGATTAAATAAAAAATTATAAAACAATAATTACATACATTAAATAAACCAAATATGAAGCATATTAATTACATATATTAATTTCGTTCAATTTGTTATAAATTTTAATCTATTTTAAAAGCCTACCATAATGTTTTTGAAATTTAACAGTTGTTCACGGATCTTCCGATTTTATTGAAAAATAAATTTAATAAATTCATTATAAAAATGTGGCACGAGATTCCAAATTCTTCTATTTGCAAATAATTTCTCTAGAGAAGAAACCCTAATGCAGATTCAGAAAAAGAAGTAATATCTGAACTATCAAAAATTTGACTTGAATACTATCATTACAAAAAAAAATTGTAAATTTTAAAATGAGAAGAGTTTGTAATTTGTAATTTGTTGGTTAATCCCTTAAATTCAAATTCATTAACATTAAATCAAAGATGAATCTTCTTCAGATCAACAATATATAAATAAAAAATATACATATCAGCTGATTGCAAAAAATGGACCTAATTATATGTCCCTATTTTGACACGTGTTATATAAATCAAATGATTCTAAGGGCAGCATAGTGGACATTCGTTTTATCACCTGTGATAAAATCGATCGTCGATCTTTTTTATATTGTGTAACATTTTATTTCAATTGATTTTAGAATAATAAATTATTCCATAATTGAACACAAAACTGAGAATATGATAATCGCGATTTTTTTTACATTAATATATTCCTTTCTATCGTCTCTTAATGTTAGTAAAGCCTGATCAAATTGATCAATTTGATTTGGGTAGGTTATATTAGAAGCAATTGTAAGTGAAAATTTAAGATTTTTAGTATTAATATGTTGGTTTATTTTTATTATTTTATAAATTACCAAGTTTT